AATGTCTGATGCAAGATGTGTTGCCATAGACTTTGGGCCAGCAGACTTGATTGCAGGATGCGTAAGGGCCTTCGAACAATAGGTACAAATGACACATGGTTCTCCAGAAAGCCGGTCTGCTCCTTGGTGATAAATTCTCCAGTATTGAGAACTCCGGTTGGTTGAATCCCATGCAATCTTCGTAAGAAATTTTCTAGTATGATCTGAGTGTTGTTCATACCATCGTGATAGCTTCCACCACTCAATGAATACATCGTGTGTATCCTTAGTCCATTTGATGAATTGGTTTAATTTGCCAGTATATTCGAGGCCCGCAGGGATTTGATTTAATGAAGGTAGTCGTTGAGAAGAGGGAAGAGAGTCTGAGAATATATTAGAAATAGGATTGTCAGAGTCAAACAACTCTGAATATTGCGATGACATTTGGCAAGTAGCAAATTGTTTGATTATCAGAAGATTACCAGAAGTCTGGCTACGATGAAATACTTAAATCTCTATAGCCCCTATTCGCGTCGGAAAATCAAATACTCCATTTCTCTCCTCTACTCTAACTCCAGAAACAACATATCCTGTGCAGCTGATACCTTAGCCCACTTTTCCTTATCAAATTTCTTAGAGTAGACAAGTAAGAACGCCTCTTTGAAGCTAGAACTATGAGTGGAGACTTGTAACCATCCGTTGTCGACAAGATTGTAAGACTTTGGGTACCACTGCGCAGGTCCTGGTAATTGGGCCCACTTTCCAAACTTCCAAGCTGTAAAGTTTGTCCAAACTGCCTGCTCGTACAAACAGAAATATTTATGTGGTGGGATAACGTTGTGAAAAGTGCTATAATAAACAATTAGTATCTCTAGAAGATTGCTAGAATGATCAGAGACGTACCCTTCTTCTACATCAATCCATGGCATATATTCAAAGAGATGCTCAGGCTTCTTTCTCAGCTTTCCAGCCTTTCTCGTATATGAGCGGATACAGCTATCCCAGAAATGTTGCCACTTGCGGAAATTGGACTCTTCATGGGCCTATCAACCGTTAGTATTACCAGAAGATTACCAGAAGATTACCAGACTATGAGGTACCAACATCAATGCGTGCTTGAGTTAAGAGAGCCTGGATGCTAGCGATCTCTTCATCAGAAAGCTCATCTGGTAGAACAGCCTCGTCATTTAAAATATCGTCGCGCCGTAACATAAGCTCCAACTCTAAATCGTCTTCAACCTCAGTATCCTCCCATTCGCTGTTATGATCGTCATCGATTGGGATACTGGTGATACCCTCAAATGCAGCAAGCTCAGACAGAAGTTGTGGCGGAGTAGATGGTGGGGCTTGTGGAGAAGAAGAAGGGGCGCTAGTATTCTTGACTTTCTGATTCGCAATGCAAGATGCATGGGTGCCCTTTTCAGTCCTGTTTATAGTTAGATTAAGGCTACCAGAGATTACCAGAAGGAACTTACCGAACACGAATACGCTCAACCTTCAATTCATTCTGTAGACGTGTCTTGTCTTCAGCAGAGGCAGCGATATACTTTGCAGACTTGTATAACTTCTTTAAGTAGTAGCTCAGATCGCCATGGTCAGCCTTGAGTGCTAAATGAACAGCCTTCTCATCTTCAGTAAGGTTGGAGACGCGGTTGCGAGCTTTGATAGTATTCAAATTAGTGGAGAGTTCTTCAGGTGCCTTGCGTTTCGCCATGCTAAACACGTGATTAGCAGAAGATCATCAGAAGTTCTGACTGTAGAATCAAGATAATAAACTTACTTGAGGTCCTAGTGAAGAGGTAAAGCGCAAAAGAGAAGAAGAATGTGTAGATCGGAACGTAACCAAGGAAGGTGGTTGGTTGTAAGGTTGTTGTTTTTTTAAAGTTGCAAACAATTATATTCGTCAAGGAATATTCACCTGCAAATAATTACTGTTCTAAACAACACTACAACGCGTACCTTCAAATAAAACACATACCTTTCAACCTCTACCTCTTTCTTTACTCTTTCTACAACATCCTTGCTACAAACTCACTGTAAGTACATATATCTTTTGATCTACTTCTTTGTCTTGTGTATACTTCACTAACTCATCTTAATGTTAGCAAATGGCTCGTATTAAGCAAACTGCTAGGAGATCAACTGGCGGCACAGCACCAAGGATGCCACTTGGATTACAGGCTGGCTCTAGGCTTGGTGGAAAGGGAAAGGGAAAGGAAAAGGCTGTGCGCACAGCAAGAAAAGCTCCAGTTCGCTCATCTCAAGCTTGCAACAATCATGCTCAGAAGGCCATGCGCCGTGCAAAGTCTGGTAAGAGGATTACCAGAGGATTACCAGAACTCTCTAATAAACATATAGGCACCAAGGCTCTCCGCGATATCAGAAGACAGCAACTTGATACTCGCCTGATTATTCCAAAGCTCTCATTCCAGCGTCTTGTTAGGGAAATCGCACAAGACTTCAAGTCCAATCTTCGCTTCCAGCAATCTGCTATCCTAGCTCTCCAGGAAGCTGCCGAATGCTTCCTCATTCGAGAATTTGAGAGTATGATACTTGAACATAGTGACAGGGACATACTAACAGTTATAGTGACAAATCTCCTTGCTATTCATGCGAAGAGAGTGACAATTCAGGCAAAGGATATGGTATTGGTTCGGCGTTTGCGGGATATGATGTTTAATCATGGAGCTGTAGGCTTAATCGATGGAAATGTCTCTCACCCAGGAATGAAGGTTAGATAAGTTCTGGCAAAGGTTATAGTGTGGAATAGGATATCAACGACATGGGAATGGAGTTATTGAGTTATGGCGTTTTACGATATCGATATCAATGTGAAGTCACGATCACACCCCCTTTTCAATGACTAATCAAACACGTGATATAACTGGGTTGCCAAGACCTATACTAGGTACCCGGCAAGTGAGTAATCCTCATTCAACAATACTCGGGATATGAGTGAGTAACTCAGCTGGGTGAGTAGAAATTCTACTACTCGACTCATGAGTACCCAGTGCGCAGCCTAGTCATTACAGTATTTGTATTACTAAGATGAAGTACCGTACCCCATTGTCTTACCCTTTGCCACAGATAACTCGCATTCTCAACGTGAGCCGAGGTGCAGGTCGAGACATGGCTGCTATATTTGGCTAATCAAGAGCCTGATCGCTTATTTCGTTAGCAGGTCCCATCAAGTTACACATTTAAAGATTCACATGGGAACAGCACAGAAAAAATAGCGACAGCATTACGGTTTTGCGGATCTATATTAGAGCAGCTAGAGAAATAGACCTAGAGTGACATTAAGTATAAAAGGTAGTGGAACAATATGACTCACACTGCAACTTACCCTGAGTTCTCACTTTGGGACCTTTCTGCTTGAAGGGGTTGCGAAAGCCCCGACTTACCCTAGTTTAATTCTCAGGGCCGAATTCACAGCTTCAGGGTGACGTAGACAGTACGTACCAGTACGTACTCTCCAGAGTGCCATCAGAACTATCTACGGTGGATCAAGGTGGTCCCGCTCGATCGACAGGGGTTAACTAACACCTCTATTCTGTCCTCGTCACTCACTCGTCCTGTTCCTATTGAACCTCCACCCAATAATCTTCCACCCATTTATCCTCCATCGAATAATCTTCCACCCATTGAACCTCCACCCCATCGGTTACGATTTTTGGCCATTAGCCACCACGAACATCTCATTCGGTCGTTGGCAGTCTCTTCACATTTGAACAGCCAGGTTTCAACAAATGCAAGAGATAGCAGATATAAGCTTAATGAAATGACCTGTCCTGATTCAGGCGAGGATTCAGAGCCTGACTTTTGAACGACGGAATTCAAGTCGCTTATACATCCTCTGCACTATCTAGAGACAACCATAGCAACATATTTGATTTACGTGCATGAACCTGCAATGTTGGCCCAGTGAGTTCATCGGACCACTTGATGGGAAGAGGTTGTCGATGCCATCGGTCATTGGTTAGGGCCTCATCCCGCTACTTGACGCCGTGGCAATATTCGTATCTGCGCACCACTGCTCTCTACTCCCCACTTGCCCTGGATCTTCTGGAATGCGTTTCCGTTGATATGTCGCGTCAGCACCATGCGGCACCATATTTATAAGGATTGGAAACGAATTCATCTTAACACTACTCAGTAAGATTCCATTGAAATCATGCGTAAACCTACAATTTCTTTCTTGGATGGTGGGAAACATGAGTTTCCAGGAGATACATAAGTGTAATAACGCCCCTTCTGATAGATGATCAAAGCAACATCCGCACCGTATAATTCGCCATACTCATATACCTTGTTGGTTAAAGTGCTCCTCCTTCTTGATGCATTCTGACTTTGGCGTTTCCGTGCGTTGCACATGTTGGGATAAAGTATATGATGTTTCTTGTAATTCGAATGGTTGTGGTTAGATCAAGATAGTTGTAGGGTTGTTGCTGGCATTTTATAGTTCGCCTAGAAAACGGTAATTCTGATGTCCCAAGCTTGCGTCATCGCTGGTGGAGTGTGCGCATCCTTGATCCGCCCAATACAGTATAGTGCCACGTGCACTTTATCTGATGGTAAACCACCCGATGGTCCTTTACCTGATGGTATCTACACCACCCGATGAGCTTGTCTTGCAGCACTGCAAAGACGTACTGCACTCTGCAGTCCTGAAGCCTGTATTCTGTTTCTTGTATTGCAGCACTGCAAAGACAGTACTGCACTCTGCGGTCTTGAACCCTGTATCCTGTGTTGTTTTGCAGTACTTCAATCACAGTGTCCACTCTTTAGTGGCGGGCTTGTCCTGCCATATTCTGTCCGAGTCTTCTGAATTCACATGCCGTGTCCTGAATATTTTGATTTGTTGCAGCCGTACGCATTCATATCATTATCGAGGCATTCGCACGTGGACAGAGGGGTCTTTCAGCTGTTTTATGCAATACTAATGACTTCAATCAAACAATACAGTCCATACTCGATTCAACTAAGATAAACTACGCAGCCTCGATCGATCAATTGACAGATCAGGCGTAGGAGAGCATGTTTGCCATCTCTCCTGAACCTCTGAAATCATTCTCAAACTCCTTGCCAACCTCGAGGACGGTCTCTAAGTGAGAATAGCATAGGTGTGTTCCATCGCTGCTTGCTATGGCATGTGCTGAACGCACTGCGTTCTTAATCTATGCGACAGTGTTAGCAAAGGAACCCCATTCGACGGTACTAGGGACACTTGCCTGTCTACCGTTGAGGCTGTGCTTGGCCAGGACGTTCAACTGCTTGTCACTGTACACTGCATCCCCCGTCTCTGTTTTTGTTTCGAGAAAGCTCCTCCAGATCGCTTTTCTCGTATCAACGCCTAAGAAACTGTACTTAATACCAACGTGTATTCTGCTCTGTACTGCTTCATCAAAGTCTCTGACCCGGTTCGTGGTAAGTAACATGATACCCTTATAATACTCAAGCTTCCGTAAAAAGACCGAGACAAGAGAGTTGTGATTAGAGTCGTGTGAGCGCTTGCACAGAAAGTCATCAGCTTCATCGAGGAGAAGTAAAGCCTTCCACTTTTCGGCAACTTCAAACATCTCACACAATTGCGCCTCGAGAAGTTTCGCATCCTTGCTTAAGTTTCCCGCAGAGACCTCCTAGTTAGCACAAATGGGCGCCAGGTTGAACATGGAGGTTCTTACTGTGTACAGAGGCCTTTCGAGGTGTTCCGACAGTCCTTCTGCAGTCATTGTCTTTCCAACACCTGGCGGTCCACTATCGAGCGTGTCAGCCTTGGATATATCGATCGTCATTTCCGTGGACATACTAGAGAAGCATAATCAAGCCACGGCCTTTTCCCTCCACAAAATCATCAAACGTATATTTAGTTTTTCCACTGGACTGGGACGTGGTTAGAGCTTCGATAAGCTTCTTTGACTTGTATGGTATAGCCAGTTGGTTGAAGAGCGACTCGTTCCACGAAATTCCCGAAATATCTGCCACCGCAAATTCCACTAGTACATGATCAGCAATGTTGCCACAGCAGGTGCGCAAGTCTTACACCATAATTTGTCGTTCAAACTGAAGCCCAGCACAGTCGGGCTACAAATTAGAAGATCTTCATCCGTCAGTGCATCAAGGTTTACACTGCTCTCCATAGCCGATTCATCTAGCTTGTTACTAGAAGTTGTATCTCCAAACAGCCACAAATCGATACTGTTAGTGCTCTTGAAGATGCTTGGCCTGGTGTAATTGGGATTGAGCTCCTGAAACATTGCGGCATCAACCATAATCCTGCTGTTAATAAATATCTCAATGGGTTTGTTTTTCTTCATTTGAAAGGCCTTGCCTCTATAATGTCGATGTTGCGTGCCGATTAGGGAGAAACAAAACTTGCGACCGCATTTCACAAGCGTTTCTCTCATGCTCTCCTCTGCTTCGTGGTATTGGAGAGGGAATGCCTCGAGAGAGTTGATAGTTCTCGATCCGCAGAACCCAAGAATGGCAGTCTCGATTGGAGCTTTCCCAAGCACCTTCCCGTCAAATTCCAAGTATTTTCCTTTGATGTGGAAATAGTCAACTCCAGTTGTGCTTGTTTTCGCTTCGCCAGACTCGAATCTGATGCATCTTGGTTTCTTGGTCCCGCGACAAGTGGTATACACCAATCCGTTTGGTTTGAAAAGAAACGGGAGTAAATCGTAAGTTATCTCTCCCGTTTTCAGCAATGAGGCAAGCCGTACTTCCGTCTCCTTGTAGGATAAATGAATATGATTGATAAGTAGGGCAATGTGCTCCGGGATGATGCTGTCCTGGGGATCAACGTGATTCCATTTACGGGACGCCTCGAGATCTGGGAGATAATGGAAGAGGAAATTTCGCTCGACCTTTTGAAAAAGTGAGAAAGTCGATTGTGATAGTTGGATGGGGCATGCTTACGGAGAGGCTTTCCTCGTTGAGACTAATCTCAGGAGCTTGTGCAAGTATAACTCTCAAGGTATCTCGGAGCAATTTCGACTTGATGTCAATATAGATCACTGGCACTTCGGTTTTCTTGACTGGAAACTTCCGTTGGCAGGTACTATTTGTGGGGAGGAGATACCAACTAATACGCCTGCGCTCTATGAAAACGTATTGATCCAGTCCATCAACTTTTTCTTCCGGTTGGTGTTGTTCCTCGATGACATACTTGCACGCCTTTTCATCCCAACTGCACCAGTATCTTGTGAGCCAAGGGAAGGCCTCAGCGGCAGGAAGACTTACACCTCATTGACTGTCTTGTACGTCTGAAACCTTTCTAGAGGGTCTTCGGCTTTAACTTCGTCTGCAGCAGTGAATCATCTCTGTTGGAGCCATGATCAACGTACAGTGTTGGCAGGTGGCTTGATATGCGTGATGGGAGATATAGACAAAAGTAAGAAGCTTGAAGATGAGTGATGATTTGAAGACTGCAGAGGTTGTGATTGAACTTCTGGGGAATCGCACGCCCTTATATACCCCTCAATTCTTCTGCCATCATGCTAACGCAAGACCAATCCCCCTGCAAACCAACAACGGCTGGGGGATGAGGGAAGCTGATCCTTCTTCGTTCAGGATCACCAGCAGCCCACGGTTGCAGCATCATGCATTGGCCGATTCAAAAACCAAAAAGGTCCAAGGGTGCATGCAAACAACGCGGGGAGAAGCACATATCTGCAAGACAGTGTTGGGGGGAATGCTGGCGAGATCGATTCACCATGCAGCAGTGTGGAGGAAGCAGCTCATTGAAAATAGAATGTCTCATCCCTGAAGCAATCGACGCACGGCGCACTGGCCCCTAAACCGACAAGAAGGCTTCATCGGTTCATCACGGAGACAACGTGTTAAGGGCGCGTTGAAATAAAAGTCATCTGCGCTCTAGAGGAGTCTTCAGTATTAATAGCATATTAAATACACCCCTTGGATGGACCGGTTGCGCACAATACATGAAGACAACGTCGTAAATCGACACTTCAAAGCAAGTATTAACTGGTATTAACACTGGAAAATCTCATACCATTATGCGAGTGAAGGCCGACCCAGCCTCAACAGCTTGTCCAGTTGTGGTTTCTTAGTTGGGCTACAATTTTTTAAGGCATGCCTGCCACTTTCCCATGCGTGCCCCGTTCCCATGCTTCCACTTTTCCATGGTCGCATAGTTCCCTACCTAGCATAATTACCGCTAGGCTGCGCACTACTCGCTCAATACTCGGCTCACTCGCTCAGTGGGTTACTCAGCTGGGTGAGTAGCTGAACCTTTTACTCGACTCGGTGAGTGAGGTCAATACTCAGTTACTCTGTAAAAACCCGGTGAGTACTCGGCTATCACGTGTAAGATTTATGCATCATGTGAACAGTCCCTCATACGATTAATACTGTTTTATGGTTAAGTTAAAGTATTACATCTATTAGCATCACTCTCGCCATCTCTAGTAAGCTGTGAGAACGAATCATGTATATTCCTCTATCTAAGTACCATGATTATCAGAAGATTATTAGAACGCTATTATCTATTATATATGCTTAAGAACATCCCTCCACCTTGCTTGATGAGGCCGGCCAGACCTACTAATACCTAAAGTATTTATAGGGTCTTGATGAGGATCCTCGACTGAGCGGAACGAGCTATGAGTCAAGATAACTGTGTATAGAACTTGTTCATAAAATGTCTCTTGTGTGAGAATATGATCTTATTATAGGTATTAACCTACATAATTCTGGTAATAATCTGGTAATCCTTACTTGTTGAGGTTGCATTTGATTGATTCGCATTTGATAGAGACTATCCTTCCCATCTGTGACTTCTTTTTGCAAATGTCTGATGCAAGATGTGTTGCCATAGACTTTGGGCCAGCAGACTTGATTGCAGGATGCGTAAGGGCCTTCGAACAATAAGTACAAATAACACATGGTTCTCCAGAAAGCCAGTCTGCTCCTTGGTGATAACTTCTCCAGTATTGAGAACTCCAGTTGGTTGAATCCCATGCAATCTTCATAAGGAGTTTTGTAGTATGATCTGAGTGTTGTTCATACCATCGTGATAGCTTCCACCACTCAATGAATATATCGTGTGTATCCTTAGTCCATTTGACGAATTGGTTTAACTTGCCAATATATTCAAGGCCTGCAGGGACTTTGTAAGGATGCCTGTCCCTCAGTGATGGAAAGGATCTGAGTCGGGCAGGTTACGGTCACATGATAAGAGTTAAGGCAGGTTAGCTGAGTCGGACCCGTTTCGGGTACTTAAGGAGATTGACCCAACGGGGGTTCCTCTCTTCATCTTTTTTGTATCCTTCGTAGTAGACCTATAGGATAGCATCCGTTTAGCCTCTGACTCGCACTCTCATATGCTATTACTGTGAGCTGGGTGCCCTGTGTCCTTACAGACTTGATTTAATGAGGATAGTCGTTGAGAAGACGGAAAAGAGTCTGAGAATACTGTCAGAATCAAACAACTCTGAGTATTGAGATGGCATTTGGCAAATTGCTCGATTATCAGAAGGTTACCAGAAGTCTGGCTACGATGAAGTACTTAAATACCTGGTTTTCCAACGCGAAAGGTACTCCAGCGCTATAACTTTAGCAACTCAAGTTCTCCTCTACTCTAGCTCCAGGAACAACATATCCTGTGCAGCTGATACCTTAGCCCACTTTTCCTTATCAAACTTCTTAGAGTAGACAAGTAAGAACGCCTCTTTGAAGCTAGAACTATGAGTGGATATTTGCAACCATCCATTGTCGACAAGATTGTAAGACTTTGGATACCACTGCACAGGTCCTGGTAATTAGGCCCACTTTCCAAACTGCCTGCTCGTACAAACAGAAATATTTATGTGGTGGGATAACCTCGTGAAAAGTGCTATAATAAACAATTAGTATTGCCAGAAGATTGCTAGGATGATCAGAGACGTACCCTTCCTCTACATCAATCCACGGCATATACTCAAAGAGACGCTCAGGCTTCTTTCTCAGCTTTCCAGCCTTTCTCGTATATGAGTGGATACAGCTATCCCAGAAATGTTGCCACTTGCGGAAATTGGACTCTTCATGGGCCTATCAACTATTAGTATCACCAGAAGATTACCAGATTATGAGGTAGCATACATCAATGTGCGCTTGAGTTAAGAGAGCCTGGGTGCTAGTGATCTCTTCATCGGAAAGCTCATCTGGTAGAACAGCCTCGTCATTTAAAATATCTCGCGCTGTAACATAAGCTCCAACTCCAAATCGTCTTCAACCTCAGTATCCTCCCATTCGCTGTTATGATTGTCATCGATTGGAATACTTGAGATACCCTCAAATGCAGCAAGCTCAGACAGAAGTTGTTTGGGCGGAGTAGATGGTGGGGCTTGTGGAGAAGAAGAGGCGCTAATATTCTTGACTTTCTGATTCGCAATGCAAGATGCATGGGTACCCTTCTCAGTCCTGTTTATAGTTAGATTGAGGCTACCAGAGATTACCAGAAGGAACTTACCGAACACAAATACGCTCAACCTTCAATTCATTCTGTAGACGTGTCTTGTCTTCAGTAGAGGCAGCGATATACTTTGTGTAATGACACAGGGCACCCAGCTCACAGTAATAGCATATGAGAGTGCGAGTTGGAGGCTAAAAGGATGCTATCCTATAGGTCTACTACGAAGGATACAAAAAAGATGAAGGGGGAACCCCGTTAAGTTTGTTTCCTTAAGTACCCGAAACGGGCCCGACTCGGTTATCCCAACCCTAGCCCTGAACCTTCCACCGCAACAGGTCCGCATCGACCCTGAACCCTACACCCTTACTGTCCCCCACTATAGTGTAACTCGCTATGTCCTCCTCTACTGGTCCGAAACCACACCGAGTCGGATTTCATGCTTGTGGTGACCGTAACAGCTCTGAGGCGGGTTCTTCGAGTATCTAGGTAAGGAGGCATCCTTACACTTTGCAGACTTATATAACTTCTTTAAGTAGTAGCTCAGATCAGCATGGTCAGCCTTGAGTGCTAAGTGAACAGCCTTCTCATCTTCAGTAAGGTTGGAGACGCAGTTGCGAGCTTTGATAGTATTCGCATTAGTGGAGAGTTCTTCATGTGCCTTGAGTTTCGCCATACTAACTAAACACGTGATTAGCAGAGATCTCCAGAAGTTCTGGCTATAGAATCAAGATAATAAACTTAGTTGAAGTCCTAGTGAAGAGGTAAAGGCTCAAAAGGGAAGAAGAATGTGTAGATTGGAGAGTAACCAAGGAAGGTGGTTCTAAGGTCATGGTTATTTTAAAGTTGCAAACAAAAATATTTGTGAAGGAATATTCACCTACAAAGAATTACTGTTCCAAAAACAACACCACAATGCGCACCTTCATATAAAACACATACCTTTCAACCTCTACCTCTTTACTATACTCTTCTTCTGCAATATTCTTTCTACAAACTCACTGTAAGTACACATATCTTTTGATCTACTTCTTTATCTTGTGTTTACTTTACTAACTCACCTTGATATTAGCAAATGACTCGTACCAAGCAAACTGCTAGGAGATCAACTGGCGGCATAGCACCAAGGATGCCACTTGGATTACGGGCTGGCTCTGGGCTTGGCGGAAAGGGACAGGAAAAGGCTGTGGGCACAGCAAGAAAAGCTCCAGTTTGCTCATCTCAAGCTAGCAACAATCATGCTCAGAAGGCCACGCGCTGCACAAAGTCTAGTAAGAGGATTACCAGAGGATTACCAGAGGATTACCAGAACTCTCTAATAAACATATAGGCACCAAGGCTCTCCGCGATATCAGAAGACAGCAACTTGATACTAGCTCCCATTCCAGCGTCTTGTTAGGGAAATCACAGAAGACTTCAAGTCCAATCTTCGCTTCCAGCAATCTGCTATCCTAGCTCTTTAGGAAGCTGCTGAATGCTTCCTCATTCGAGAATTTGAGAGTATGATGTTTAAACATAGTGACAGGGACATACTAACAGTTATAGTGACAAACCTCCTCGCTATTCATGCGAAGAGAGTGACAATTCAGGCAAAGGGTATGATATTGGTTCGGCGTTTGCAGGATATGATGTTTAAGCTGTGGGCTTAATCGATGGAAATGTCTCTCACCCAGGAATGAAGGTCAGATGAGTTCTGGCAACCATCTGGTAACCTGGTACCTAAAGGCCAAAGGTTATAGTGTGGAATAGGACATCAACAATATGGGAATGGAGTTGGAGTTATGGCGTCTTGATCAATGAAGTCGCACCCCGTTTTTAACATAGGTATGTTAAAAACGGGGTGCGACTTCATTGATCTACTTAGGTAAGTAATGGCTAATCAACACGTGATATAACTGAGTTGCCAAGACCCATACTAGGTACTCAGCAAGTGAGTAATCCTCATTCAACAATACTCGGGACATGAGCGAGTAACTCAGCTGGGTGAGTAAAAATTCTACTACTCGACTCGTGAGTACCCAGTGCGCAGCCTAATTCCGGCTCGCCCGGAAAACGCGTAACACGCTTTATATACCACATGTACTGTAACGGCGGCATCCGTTACAGGAAGTCTCACAAAGTAGACAGATCAAGCTTCGAGAATTGAGAATTGGATCCTCATCAACCTGTGATATTTATATTGGCTATCTGAATGACGATGCGCTGCTGCATATATTGCGGCATCTATATTGCGTGCCCTCGTCCTGTGAATGGAGTGATGTTGAACAGGCCCAAGCCGTTCAATAAACGGCGCGCACCATTTGGTGTACATCTCAATACTCGGCAAACACTATCAGTGGCAAAATTAGGTATAGTCTTAAGGAATTTTTTCTCCATTACTGTAAACACTTAATTGGAAGTATGTTTTGGCGCCCTTTATTTTCTTCGTTGTTCCTGCATCTGTCAAAGTGATAACTTAACGAGTTCCACACCAGCAGATAAGCTACCAACCAATCAATCTGCTGACTAACCACATAATCAACCCACACCGCCCCGGCAGAAAAAGTCCCCATCCCAAACTTTCCAAACCTCGAAGCCGTCCCCCAATCCACCAAAACACACCTCCCCAAAAATGGTGAAACCTAAAACCTCCAAGGGCGCCAAAGGCGCCAAATCCTCCGTGCCGAGCGACACAATCACTGACCCCCGCTTCGCCGCCTTCGCGACAGACCCCCGCTTCCGCCTCCCCTCCAAAAAACACACCCACACCAAGATCGACAAGCGCTTCTCGCGCATGCTCGAGGATGACGACTTCTCCAACACAGCGACTGTCGACCGGTATGGGAGGAAGATAAGCAGTAGTGGGAAGAAGAAGGCGTTGCGGAGACTGTATCAGCCTGAAGAGGAGGAGGAGGAGGAGGAGTGCGCTGCCGAAGACGGGGTGGAGGTCGAGGATGATACGGTGGTAGAGAAGGAGTTGCGTCGCGCGGAGGGGGGGTACGATCCCGCGCTTGGCGGGGGCTTTTCGTCGTCTGAAGAAGAGGAGGAATCGGAGATTGAGGAGGACGAGGAGACTGCCGTTGATGAGACCGGGGCGTTCCCTGATCTGCAGGCGGAGCAGACGGCGGTGCCAATGGGGGTGGTGTCGAAACGAATCGCGGTGGTAAATCTAGACTGGGATAATATCCGTGCGGTGGACTTGTACTCTGTCTTCTCGAGCTTTGTGTCAGGAGCCGGGCGCATTGAGCATCTGGCCGTGTATAAGAGCGAGTATGGGAAGGAGCGCATGGAGAGGGAGGAGATGGAGGGGCCGCCGAGAGAGATTTTCGCAAGGCAGAAGGCTGAGGAGGAGGAAGAGAGGGATTCGGAGGAGGATACTGAGGATGAGGAGAGGATTAAGCAGGACCTTCTCAAGCCTGATGATGGAGAGGAATTCGACTCCGGCGCACTGAGACAGTACCAGCTCGAGCGGCTACGCTATTTCTACGCCGTCATCACATTCTCAGATCCACAGGTCGCGCACCGCGTGTACGAAGCCACAGACGGAACAGAGTACCTTACCTCTGCGAACTTCTTCGACCTCCGCTTCGTGCCCGACGACACCGAGTTCGACGACGTCCCCCGCGACGAGTGCTCCGCCGTGCCGGAGGGATACAGACCCACTGACTTCGTGACTGACGCGCTGCAGCACTCCAAGGTGAAGCTGACGTGGGACGCGGACGATGTGAGTCGCAAGGACACGCTGAATAAGGCGTTTAGCGGCTCCAGGGCGGAGATTGGGGAGAATGACCTCCGTGCGTATCTTGGAAGTGATAGCTCGGAGAGCGAGGGGGAAAATGAGGAGGAGGTGGTGGCGGATGATGTGCCGAGGTTGACGAAGAAGGAGGCGGCTAGGCAGAAGATGCGCGCTGCGCTGGGGTTGTCGGCGGAGCCGATGAAGTCGAAGAAGGTCGAGGGACCGGTGGGGGATATGCAGATTACCTTTACGGCTGGTCTGTCGACGACAGATAAGGGTGATGGGGGTGTGTTTTTGAATAAACCGATTATCGAGGAGACGACTGCGGAGGCGTATATCCGTAAGGAGAAGGAGCGTAAGGCGCGCAGGAAGGAGAAGGCTAAGGCTACGCGCGAGGGCCGCGATGTCGATGCCGAGGTCGAGGTGGCAGAGGAGGTGGTGGCTGAGCCGGAGGCGGACCTAGGCTTCGACGACCCCTTCTTCGCAACGGACGATAAGGTGAAGTCTAAGGCAGCGTCTGACCTCCGCAAGGCGGCGCGGGCGAAGAAACATGCTGAGAAGAAGGCCCTTCAAGATGCCGCAGACGAGCAGAAGAAGGAGCTCGAGCTTATCATGACTGAGGGCCTCGATGAGGGTGGATCTAGGGAGCACTTCGATATCAACGAGATTGCGCGTGCTGAGAAGGCCGCGAAGCGTGGTGGCAAGCGCGGACGCAAGGGGAAGACTGGTGAGGTGGAGGACCGCAAGGGAGCGCTGCAGAAGGGGTTCGAGATGGATGTTGCGGACCCACGTTTCGGGGCGCTGTTTGAGAGCCATGAGTTTGCGATTGATACGAGTAATCCGAAGTATAAGGCGACGGAGGGGATGAAGAAGTTGTTGGAGGAGGGGAGGAGGAAGAGGAAGGGTGATGAGGGGGAGGAGGGGGGGGGGGATGGTTGTGGGGAAGAAGAGGAGGAGGGAGAAGGGGAGTGGGGAGGGGTTGGGGAAGTTGGTGGAGAGTGTTAAGAAGAAGTTGGCGAGGTAGAGGGGGGTGATAATAAATTTCAAATTGATATGTATAAATTGTCGAGAAACCTACACGGGGCCTAATACACCAATGTTTCGACTATACGAATGTTGCAACTAACACTCTCCTCTACATAATGCATATATCGGTAAGCTGTTCTTGGGGCTCACTTTCCACCAGAAGTTAGGCACTTGTGATCTGAACAGCAACTCGCATAGGAACCTCGTCCGGAGAAAGATGGGGTCGTGGCACAGAAAGGATGCAGTAGAAAGAATCTAGGGACCCGACCAACTCGTCTGCGATAGATGTGGAAAGGAAAGCTGCTCCGAGTGTGAAGAGCTGATAACCGATCCTCGTAATTGCAGCGACAACAGCAGCAGAGCCGCGACAGCAAGAGCCCCACGACAGCAAGAAGACCCCAACAACAACAGAGCCGCAACAACAACGGAAACAACGGGACTGCGATCAGCGCTGAACGTGGTGCTGCCTACCTACCGTGATCTTTGTCCGACTTGTCGAGGCACAAATTCCCTGACTCCATGTCTTTCTTTGGCAGTCCTACTGCTTTGGTCGCATAGACAAGATTGGGTGGGCGCCTGTGTTTTGATCTCGGAAACTTATTCGGTTATCCAGCGTAGGTCGTCAATAAAACAGTAGGTCTTATAATAGCCGTGCTATATTATATAGTATTATTAGAACTGTAAGGGCCTGCTGGATTTCTTGACATAGTATGCCTCTTCACCATGACTCTCAGTGATCAATTTTAGTAGTTCATATTACAGACAACTATTTAAGAACTCCATGTCTTTCGCACACGCAAAATTCTATAACTAAGGATCTCAACCGCCCAACATATGAAAACAGTCCGGGTGGCGGTGGGTATATATACCGATTGGAAAAAGAAAAATATACAAACAAGCAGGTTGGTTTGATCTGAGCTCTATTGCCGTTCTGACATTCGATAGCGCGTGTGTTATTAAAATGAAAGTATGGTCGAGGAAGACGGAATGAATGACGGCCGTGGGTAGGCGGAACGTATTTTGAAAGTCGAGAGGGGGGTTTTTTGGTTCCTCTAGGCTAGGCCTTCGACCTTGGGGTAGAACCAGGCGCTGTGGAATGTTAGTGGATAATTCATATGAATGAGTGCAGTGAGAACTTACGTTACTGCGATAATGACATAAAGGCAGTTAAGCATGATGCCCTCAAGCCAATGCGACTTTCCATCTCTATAACTCAATTAGCATTCGTTCCAAAACAAGGGGGCTTCTGCACTCACGAGATCAAATAATTCACCAACAACACCGTCACAAACAGCACCGCAACCTGAAACCCATCAAAACTAAGATTTGTCTTGGCAACTACTCGAGTACTACTCGAGTAGTTCAGATTTCTTCGAGTCGAGTACTACTCGAGTAATTCCTCGAGTAGTACTCGGGCAACACTGCTAGCGGTGAAGGCTTGTCGTCGTCCTCAATATATAGCTTTTTAGATTAAAAGCGTATCTCAGAAAAGGTGCAAGCAGATGGGTATCCAACACTTAACTACTGTGTTCCATATTATCTACGACTAATGGATAAAATTAAGAAGATGAAGAAGACTGTAAAGCATATATCTATCAACGAAGCTTGTACTGCTGCATTTAACAAATTAGACGACTATTTCTCACTTGCAACAAGCCAACAGTCAAGCCATTTAACAGTTGCAACAATATGCGATCCTCGGTTTAATTTTAGTATATTTGACTTCTATTTACCAGAAAGCTTTTATAACACAAGCAAAGAGCGAGCAAGAGCACAGTTTGCAGCTTGTTATAACAAGTATAAAGCACGGGACAATGACATTCAAGCAGAGGAAATGGATGCTAGACTTGATAACGGGAGTGAGGATATACCTCGAGAAGTAGACTCTGAGGATGAGATGTTTAAGCATCGAAATCCTATACTCCAAGAGGTTGAATGGAGACAGTGGCTTAATAAACCAGGAGTTGATAAGCCTGATACTAATGTTCTCAAATATTGGCAAGCAAAGCAGTATCAGTATCCAACAATTGCACAAATAGCTCGAGACTATTTAGCAATTCCAGCAACATCAGCAGCGTCAGAACGAGTCTTTAGCCAAGGAGCCGACATCGTTACGAAGAAAAGGAATAGACTATTACCTTCAACAATCAGATACTTACTATGTCTACGGGATTGGGGGGTAATTGTTGACGATGAGGATATTGAAGATGTTGGACAATATCCGTAGGGCAGTAGGTAGAGAATATAAGCCGAAAATACAGTCACGAAGCAGTAGGGCCCGAAGTGATAATTTTATAATGCATGTTTTTTATAATTGAAGCTATTCTAAGTACTATATATACTGTTACGGGTGTGCCTATTCGTGGTTCGGATCCTAAAACCCTCCTGGTTACAGTTCGTTCCCTGGAGCTTCAGAATCGAAGCTTTAGAATCGGAAGATCCAGGATCCGGAGGATCACGAAGCTGGCTGACACAGCTTCGGTATCAGGGCCCTGATCCCTGCTTCCGGGCCGAGGATTCAACAGAAGATATAAGTGGAGATATGGGTTAGGCATAGTTAGATTTTTTTCGTAGTTTTCAATATTCCATACACTCTATTTCAGCCTCAAAGATTCGAATCATGACTCGAATCAGATTCGAGTCATGATTCGGCGAATACTTCAAAAATATGAATGATTCGGCGGATGATTCGCCGCACACTGATTAATAGCCCGTATATCTTTATAATCATAATTTCCCACTTTTTTTAAAAAAAAATTGACATTTCACATAAACTATACCAGGATCCGTCTTCAGACACCAAATAAAAATAGAACACAGCTGTTGGCGAATTTTCACGAACGGAAGCTTTGCTTCCCGTACATTATCGACTAAATAATCACTAAATACCCAATCACGCCAGTAAATTACATCCCCCAATCCCCCCACCCCTTATCCACCCGCCGTCTCCCCTCCCATAGGCGCATTACTCCCACTGCCCGAATCACTCGCATGCTCACTCCCCCTCCTAAAAGACGGCGTCCTCAAACTCCCAAATCCTCCCGCATCCCTAAAGCTTCCCCACCCCTCCCTCAACTCCCCCCTCGCATCCATAAAACTCCCTATAGGCCCATTATTCCCACCCATCCACGTCAATCCCGGCCCGAGTCCCAGCACGGGAATATTCGCATCATCAACCACCAGACCCGCTGCCATCGCCGCCGCCTCGCGCGCGCCAGCCGCCCCAGCCTTGAAGACAGGCGGCGTAGGCATCACAGCCGATGTCGTGGCTTTCTCCCATACCTCAGCATAGAAGCGGCGCAGTCCCTCGACGTCATTACAGAAGCGGTCCATGTCGTCCTTAATCGCGACATCTGGGCCCTGCTTCTCCTTCGCAGCGAAAGTCGGCACCGCGGCGATTGGCTTCAGGCCGGGGCTGGCCATGGTGGCGCGCAGCATGGGGCTGCTGATGGGTGTTTGTTGGCTGGGTGGGGGCACGAAGCGGTCGCTGTCGCGGACGATGTGGGTGCGGCTGTTGAACATCTTGTTGCTGGTCAGGAGGAAATCGCCTTCGTCGCTGATTTGGGCGAAGCCGGTACCGGAGCGGTGGATGTACTGCGAGTAGGCGTAGTCCGGCTTGCCCCAGCTGTAGATTACCTCGACGTTTGTGGGGAAGTTGGTTGCGGCCTCGGTGTCGAGGACGAAGTTGAACTTCTTCATGATCGCTTTTTGGAAGTAGTGCTTCTGTGGCCTGGATATGGGGGCGAGGCTGGTGGCGTCAAAGTCAGTAGGTGGTTGTTTTTCTGGGGGTGGGAGGGCGAGTTTGAGCCTGTAAGGTGCGCGAAATGGGTGGCTGCTTGAGATGGTGCAGGCTTCTGCTATGGGAGCTTCGACGAGCCGTAGTCCATAACGGTCAGCTGTGAGAGTCCATGAAGCGATGGCGTCCTCGATGAGCTTCGCAGTGACATTCATCCAGTCAAGGCGTATGTGATAGCAATTATCGGGATTGTGGATCCGATCATAATGCAGATTGATGCGCTCAGGGCGATACGAGCGTTTGCGCGGGTCAACATCATACTTCATGACATTACTGAGGGAAACCTTGGGTTTACGAGCAGTTGGAGTAGGCGGTTCTGTGCCAGAGTCTATCGACTTGTTTTCGTCGCCAATAGAGTTGGATCGAGTCGTCTCCGGCCTGGGAGACTCTTTGGGGGCGTTCTCGGCCATGGCCATGGGAGTTGTTGGAACCGATATATCTTTAGGATCTTTGGTATCTCTGCGACGGGGCCCAAATGGCCAGCCTGTGCGTGTCTCCGGCCGGGGTTTCGCGTGTTCACCAACAACTTGGTAAAAGTATTGGCCGTCACGGAAGGGGTGGCGCTTTTCAACGTGGACAAATATTCCAAAGTCTTTCTCTTTCTCTTTGCAGTCCGCGTTCAAGCGCCTTTCTTCATCGTCAACCATCAACATATTGCCGAATTCAATGGCTTCTTCGCGGGTTTCGATATCTTCGATATTCTCCAAAAGCCAAGTTGTCATATCAGATCCGATAAAGCAATTATAATGCAATCTGAAATGCCACCTTCTGTTCTGCATTCTGACTCCGCCCTTTTCCACGGGAGCCTGAATAGCTTCTGCCAGCATTGCGATATTCAAATTCGATTTCTTGAAACGCTCTGTTTCAGAAAGAAGCTGGCCACGCTTAATTTGTGCCTCTCCAGTCTCTAATATTGGTAAAGTCTCAAGCTCAGCCGCGATAACAACCGAAGCATCCTGTGTCTGATACCAAATATCGAGTGGGTTTGGATCTTTCACCCGTTGACTAGACAGATTTTTGAATATACGCTCAGATGGCGGAGTGTAACGATGTCTTTGCCACATCTGTGTCAAGGCTTTGATGCCCTCCAATCGAATTTCTTCTTCTGTGTCTTCGCCCTTGGGTCTATGAAGGAAGGCTGGACGTTCCACAGGAATAAGGACAAATCTTGCTCTCCAGTATCGTAGATTATCGGTTATATCCTCATTATGACCCGCAATAAACGAATCTACATAATTCCAATTGTATTCAGGAAGTGGTTTTTGTAGAGCAACATCGCGACAGGCGTAATCGGAGTCGAAGTATGTCCGTATCGCGGGCTTATGGTATTGAGTCTCGGTATTCTCATTATGTAAAAACGTGGCCGATTTCCTTGTAAACATGTTTACTTCGACTTCGGTTCCGTTGACGCACGAAAGTTGGTGGATGATATTCCCCATGGACAAAAATATGCTCGTGCCATCCTCGGCAATATGATCGTCCTCAAATGCGTTTGCAATCTTCAATGCCTTCTGTCCAAAGGCTTCGGCAACGGCGGTGCCGACGACGATCTGAAACCCATGTGAAAGTCGCAATGCAACGAGCTCTCTCAGAAATTCTCCTCTTGTCTTCGGCACTTCGAGCATATCTTCGTCTGTATTTTGGGATATATTATATGGCTTCTGCTGGAATTCTGTATCAAGTTGGACTTTGGTCGGGAAGTATTCGGTGGTAAGCGGCACTGATGCCGGCGAACACAGGGATTTCCACTTCATCGCCTTTGTGACAACAGGACCAGGAAATATATGCTGCCATCGTTTATATTGGCTTGCGTCATTGTCGGCAGCCGTTGGGTTTGATGGGTTGAGAACATTCAGCCATGGAGAGAGCGCTACTGTCTGTGGGAGAGACGCGAAATCTGTTGCTGGTCCTGCCAACAACTTCGATTTTGAAGTTCGTATAGTGTCGTTAGATAGTAGTTTCTGTAGTGTTGGCAGGTCGTCGTCATCCCTGACCTCTCCTCCTCCATACAACGATCCCAAAATCGACCTGGCCTGTGATTGGGGGTTTGCCTCAAAGCCCGAAAATGGGCTCTTGATGGCAATCGGCCGGCTAGTGAACTTGTTCGTATCGTCGGCATTGTCATTGCGGTCAGATTCTTTTGACCTTATACTTCCTCGGGATGAAGCGGGCCGGTTGCTCGTCCTATCGAACCGAGAAGATGATGTCAAATGGCTAGCCATTGCGGAAGAGCTATCTTTCTGCGGTGTTGATATTTGGGATTGGCTTGTGAGCCTGGCTGCGTTGGCATGCTCAGTGTGCACTTCGGCAACAGCAGCTTTGGGGGCAGCTATCCCAAAGCCTCGAAATCCAAAACTAATCTGCCGAGAGACTTTGAACGGGCGTGCAAGGAGGCTAGCGTGCGAGGTTGCCTGGGAGTTTGTGCTTGATACGCTGGTTTTGCGCGAAGTTGTGCTCAGTGGCCCATTGTTATTTGTCCCTGGGACTGTCAGGTTTTGATTTTGCGACTGTGGTACCTCGCGGTGTGGCAGTGGTGCAGATATCTTGCCATCGATGCTCTTCTTTTTTTCATGGGTCTCATATGACAGCTTGGGATATTTTTTCACATCAAGATTTGGTGATACTATCTTAATACGCCCTGGCTTGGAGACGACTGCAGCTTTCTCGTCAAAGGCTTCGAGTAACTCAAAAAAGTCCCTCTCACCTGCCGTAGATTTCTTGTCAACAACTGGCCTTGTTGGTCCATACAATGGATATCCAATTCCAGAAAATGGCTTTCTTGGTGCCTTCACAATGCTAGGTTCGTCGCCTTCGCTTCGCCCCAGTTGGCGGATACGATCTGGCAGAGGTAGAACAGATATCTCAGTATTTTCCACATGGCCAAGCATTTCTATTTCGTACATCTTGCATCTGATCTGAAAATTCTTCCTAGACTTCACAATACCTTTGCGGCGGTATGCTTTTGATATTTTACGACCCTGCTTTGCCAACAGTTCTTGGCTTGCTCCTGTCCAAAAGGAGACGTCCAGCCAGTGTGGAATAGCATAATTCCATTCTTCGGGGGCATTTTGAGGCGCAAGGGTACTGAGGCGTTGTTGGAGTTCCGACGCCTTTGAAGGAGACAAGGATTCTTGCAGCGTGTTGAAGCTACCAAAGGTTGTGGTGCTTTGCCGCGGGGTACTGCTCTCACTGCCTATGTCCTTCAATCGGAGTGATTCCTGGTATACATCAAACAGAGGATTGCGATAGCGCAATAGAGGGACTGAATGCAAAGGAATCTTGGGAAGACAGACGAGATCGATGGCGATGCCGCTACCTATCAAAGAGTCTGTCGTTGCTTTCAGTTTCTCATAGTCCACTTCAAACAATCCCGCACAGGGCGTGATGATGACTATAGATATCCCTGTTCGGATAAGGTCGCGGTCGATGTAGTCAGAAGAGAATTGAGAGGATGCAAGATTTATTGCTTCCAACAGATTTCCATGGACGGCGAATGTCGGTTCTGCTTCCACTCGTGTACCAGGAACCGAGCCCATGGAGAAATCTCTAGTCGGTTGCTTCGAGCCATACTTGTTGAGTCGAAACATTGAGATATCGTGGCGAAAGAAGTGGAATTCGACCTTTAGCTGGTATAAGATTGTCGTCCATTCCCCACTTGCCATTTCGCTCACGACAACCCGATAGAAATCCTTGTATGGCTTTCTAGATCCAGTGGTAAAATATCCGGTATAGTATGAGTCGCCGCTCCCTTCCATGTCATTGGTAAGGCCCATATCATACTCCACGCGGGTAAACAGAACAATGCTAACAAGGTGTTTTGCCTTGAGCGCCACCCACCTCTTGAACAGTGCCGGCAAAAATCCATTGACAACTTTTGTAAACACAATCTCTCCGGATCCTTCCGAATCGAAATCCCACATTTCTTTCGACATCTGAATAAATAATACATATCGAGCGGATTCGCTCCTGAAGATCGGTTTTGTATTTGTCGAAAAGAACGCCGACTGAACTTTTCTCCCCGAAACATACACCGATGTTATCTGTGCCTTAATTGTGCCCATAAATACAAGCTTTTGTCCTTTATACACCGTCTTGTTGCTCAACTTCGCAAGGGTGAGTCGCCACATATCAGATCTCGACAGGTATTCGTCTTTGAAGGACATTTCGACATGCGAAGCTGTTGTAATGGCAGCGGTTGTCGTCGTAACCAAAACATTGGATCTATGCTTGAATCCAAATACATCGGCGACATGTTTGGCCACTGATATTTCCAGATTGGGGTGTTTTGATGCGGTCTCCTGGTTCATCTCGCCCAGTGTAAAGAGGTACTGCTTCTCGGCATCATCATGGGTATCCAGGCTTCCCTTGCTCGACCGCATGTCTGCCATGCTGGCATCCAATTGTTGGCTCGCCGCCAAGCTTCCGGGTTTCTTATCCAAGGCATCGTTCTTGAGCGGCACAATGGCCATCAACTGCCCTAGCTTGTAGCGCCCGGCAGGCAAGAGAGTGTGATTGAAGATAACTTCTTCTTTCGAAAACTTCTCATCATGGACCCATAGCACGCACTGCCTCTCGATGGGTGCTTCATTATGGCTAGGAGCAGTCGTCTTAGGCGGATTGGCCGCCGCGCTTGGGACGGGGTCGTTATCGTTACTGGGGCGGTGGGGCGGAATTGATGAGGGGCGAGCCGCAGCGCCCCGGCGCAATGAGGCTTGCGCACTCATTGGTATATGGAAGCATTAATGGGCGGCCGGTATTATTTCATTGTCAGTGTTATTTGGTGAGGTTGTCGTCGTTCCCCACAAGTGAGGCCGTCGCTCCAAGGTTTCTGCCAGTAGGCTAAGACATAAGGTTACAAGGGAGCTCTCACCGCCTTAGTATCGTAGTCACGTGATATTAACATATTTTTCGGAAACATCAGTTGTAGTCCTACATCTGAAGCAGGTTATACATATATTAGTGTCTAATTAATCCATGTAGATAGCTAATATAATAAATAGACTAAATTCAATTTTGTACGGTTGGCCGTATTGGATGGGTGGGCTGCTTCTAGATTTGGCTTCGACACTGCAAATTATCTTTAATTTTTCTAATACCAAGGTAAATAGTTAAATTTTATTCAAGTTACTTTATTTGTAAATCGAGCCAGCGTTCAACCTAATCATAATTACTTCAACGATCAACTTCGGATCCCATTTGTAAAACTTTCCATCTGTTTGTCACTTCTATCGGGTTTAAATTGTGGATCTCGGTATGGCCCGACGACTATTCTCCTCATCAAGAAATTTTTGTTCTGACGCCATCAGCCAAAAGAAGACTGACGCAGTGCACAGGCAGTACTACTACAATGTCTCAAGATACCGATGATCTATCTAAAGAGGTTGAGCTCATGAATCTCAACGAAAGCCACGTGGATGGCTTAAAAAGCATTTCCCTAAAACTCATCTGCGCTGGCATCCAGCGTATCCTCTCCCCAGGCCTAGAGACCATCTCCGCTTCATCCTGGGCCTCGGTCGAGTCTTTGCTCCAGAGCACTGCGAAGAACATTTCATCCGTCCATGATACTCCTTCGGATATCAAGGATGCCGCGGAGTACTTCTCTACCATCACCGAATGGATTCGGGCCTGGGCAAAAGACCTTCAACAGGCCATATCTGCGCTGCATTCTCCCGAAGAGAAACAAAAGTTAGTCTCTTTGCAAGTAGTAGAAAAGGTTGAAGCGGCCGAACGATCCGCTAAGCTGGCTTCCACGATCAGTGGATCATGTCAGGTGCTACTGGCAAACATGGGGAAGCGGACAGAATGGGAGATACAACACCCCATTGAGGCAGCTCAAGAATTCGAGCTTCACGAATATTCTCGGAGTTTATCTAGCTCGTTATTGCAATCACAGGGTGGTAAGGCATTAAATGATATCCCGGGAGAGAGGTGGGCAGAAGCGGAGAAGCAGCTACGGAGTCTCGAAAATTACCTAAAGGAACACAAGATCCAGGCTGTCAGAATTCGAGAAACCAAAATAGACAAAGTAATGGTTGCCCTCCTCAAGGCCGTTGAACGCCTCGATGAGACTGGAATCAACCGCCAGAAAGTCGACGTGGCCCAGGCAGAACGTATCTGGGGTCTAGTCGACAAGCTCGGGAGTGGCCTGAGCTATTTACTCCAGGTCGATGCCAGACGTCGTGAGGGCGAAGCCGTGCCCACGACCCACTCAATATTCCTTCTGAAATCCGCACCACCAGCAAACCTCAAATACTCCGCATCGCCATCTGACTGGATAGCGAAGCAGCTTGCGAAGTCTGCGGCGTATCTTGATGCGGTCGTGATTCAAGGTAACATTGCCGTCAACGATGAGAAGGGCTGGAGTGTGGTATTCCAAGAACTGTCTGCGCTGGAAGACTTGCTAATTTCCGGGGTGACGTTGACGAACGCCAAAGAGTCGAAGATTGACGAGACACTGAAAGGTGTGGGAGAAAAGATTCGGGGTCTGGAGGCTAATAGGAATGGGAAGGATGAAGGCGACCTGAGCCTTATGTATGTTAGTTGGGAGTTAGCCCTGAGGATAAGTGCCTACTTCAACGAACTGGAGGCCTGAACGGCCTCGTCCGAAGTATAATCCGACAAGGAATTGCCGAGGATGCCTCAATTATGGCATGCTTTGCAGGCAAGGGTATCACGACTAGCAAGAGAATAAGGAGCTGGGCGTTCAAGCGCTACTCGTGGTGCCTCCACAACAAAGTATAGCGGGACAGAGGCCAGACTTTTAACGGAATAGTCATACGAACCGACCAAGACGCATCCAGTTACGATCGCGATTAGTACGAATAATTACTTCGGAATGAAAGGAATAGGCTGTGAATTTGCAACAATGGAGCACCAAAAAAAAAAGCATAGATGCGAAGGAGAACAGGTGTCATAAGGGGAACTACCCAAGCCAATAAGATAAATATAGTAGCCACATATATGTCCATTTGCTACTTTCTATCAGTCTCCAAATAACGGTCCTTAAGCAATAATCCCCCCCATCTTGTAGAATACCATCCTCAATAGTCGCTGTGCAGCGGCTTCTGGCCATATACAACGCCACTATATTCTGCTGTTAGCGTGATCCCTTTATCGTGACGGACAACTTACACCACATAATGTCCATGATTCTTCCTGTCTAGCAATGCCGCCTTTAGCTGCGCCAAGTACACCTGTACATCTTCCAGCTTCCACTGCAATACCGCTGTCAACATGTACATCGCCCAGCTCTCCATCCCCGATAGACAGAACAGCAGGCTCCACCTTCCCACCTCCTTCAATTTAGGGTCACTACTCCATGCTCCAATGGGAACTTTAAGTTCCGTTGCACCACATTTGTGAACCCTGCCTTCTCCATGAGCTCTTTAGTTTGGTCTAAAGTCCGGATGGACTTGCCAAGGATGTCGCCAGCCTTGAAGAACGGCTTCGCCCAGCCAATCAGGATATGGTCTTCGTCAACCGTCCATCGTCCGAGACTATCTGAACATTGATCTCGACCTGATTTCACCATGCCACCTGTCTCTTGTCTCTTTACTCAAAAATCCCCAGCGCCCCTTACCCTGCGGACTGCTCCTGCAATCCCTTTGAACCAACTGAACTTGCCTGGGTCGGTGCCGATCGCGCCTTCAACCTCCTTCCCCTCCGCATCTCTCCACACACCATCGTCGTCGACCTTTCCATATATTCCCGTTCTTTGGCATCTCCTCAGACCATCAATCCAATTACCACAAACTTCTTTACTCTGGAGCATGACATTAATCTCTTGACTGTGGTACCAACTCTGCGAGTCCTGGTTTCCATTTCCTTGAATTCCTATCTCCTCATCGATGATCATCAGCTTGACGTGACAGCTCCGCTTCTTGGCCTTGGCAAGAATTGGCCGCGTCTGGTCGGCGCCAGCGTAGAAGTGATAATGCAGATGCTTCAACCCCTCTGGCGAGAGCGATTGGTGCAATGCATGTGCGATCATCTCATTGGTACCCCCTTGCATCGGCAGAAGTTCACCCTGTATCAGTCAGCATATAGTCGTCCGATTTGGGAGATCTTACAGCATCATTATAACCAATGCAAATGAATGCAAAAACATCAACGCCTCGCTCACATGCGTTTAATATCTCCTTGAGTATTGGCTCTGCGTTTAGTGTCGGGCTTTGAATGTACACGTTCTTTTTCGCGTATCGTAATCCAGCCAGCCACGCCTCATTCTGTGGCGTAAACACGTCGTTGTTATTGGGGGTTCCGTATGGCGGCCTATTAACCATTGCGATTGGGAATGGCTCATGCACTGCATGAGGTATGTAAGGGGTAAACTCATCACCAGCGGGAATTTCCTTGATTGAAGGAGGGAAGTCCTTGTTCTTGGTGTGGTTCAAGTGGGCGACTGTAGCCTCCAAGCGAGTCAAGTTGTCGTTTGGGGATACTGATTGCTGTACACGGGCTACCTCACCAGCAATATCAATGTCATAATGAGAGTCAGTTGACAAATGCTCCAGGAGAGGCTTGCCTTGTGGAGGCTGGCTGATAATGGAGCTTGGGAGAGAAGAGGATCCAGAACACAAGTAAGCGTTAGTTACTGGAGCCCTGCCGAACCTTTCTTGCTCGTTGTTTAATCCCGAGGAAGCGCCCTTGATATTAACGTCGTCAAGTGGAGGCAAATGCGGGGCGTCAATTGCATGCTCAATGGCATTTCGTGCTGGCGAAGGGTCGTAAGAAGCATCATTAGAAAGGTTCGCTAACCGTTGCCCCTCGAGTAGCCCATTGTTTTCTCCTGGGATCAAGTGCTTAGAGTGGATTGCTCTCGCGTCGACCGCTTCTAGCTGGCTAGAACTGTTGGCCTGAGCCTCTGAAATGGCATTTGCCTGAATGCCAGCTTGATGAAACATTTCATGGTGGCTCGTTTCCCCGAAAGAGCCAATTCCACCTCGAGCAGCTGGAGAATTGTAACTTGGCAATGGAGGTTCCAGCGCTTTGTGCCAGGAGATGAGAGCCATGTCGTACAGCGAATCGACGATTGGACCTTCCAGTTGGATCATCATCTCCATATTATCATTATCCTGGATGTTGTTGCTCTGCAAAACAGCATACTTGCGATCAACTACCATATACTTGCAGTGATATGTGCCTAGCATTGGCTTGTGGTAGTTCATAACTTGAAGATTAATGTTCGGAATCTCCTCCGGCTTTGGGATATTCACAGCGTCGCCTATAATTTATCAGCTTAGTTGAATGAAAGGCTGAGCTCGCTTTACCTAAGTATTCCTTTTCGGAAACAATGTAATGTGGTTCAAGTAGCTGCTTCAGGCTTCCTCTATCATAGATGATTTTCATGACAATCCTTTCTCCACGCCTGCCAGCTCTTGCCGACAGTTCTTTCATCGCATTTGTAATATACGAAGATGCAACAGAGCTCTGCCAGTAGTTGGTGGCTAGATAAACCTCCTTTTCTGCGCGAACAATCATGTTGCTCATGTGACGCATAATATCTGGTACGCTGCGTCCGTTAATTGCAGTTCAGGTAGTCTGGAAAAACATACACGGATATTATCGTCAACGGTACGACGCCACAGCTACCCATCAACGAAGGGCTAACCACAGCTGCAGAAATATCATGTTCCACAGGACCCAATACATCGTGGTAGATCTTTACCTTGATTAGATTTGTCGTCTTGAAAGATAGAACGTGCGTACCTTCAAGAATAGCTCATTCGGTTGCGAGGGTCCCCAGTTTCCGCATTCTGCGGCACGCTGTAGCTCGTCGGCGCCAATGCTGCGTTCCTCGCTGTCTCCATCTGACCTTGCTGCACTCTTCGACGATGGCACATAACTACCGTACAATTGCTTCCATGCATCCCCAGGCGAAAGAGTTGGGTTCTCTGCAAGAAGTGCAGATACGCTTTTCTTGCCCGTGCATAGCTTATACAAGCCATCAGAAACCATAGTCGGGCTACTTGGGCTAGTCTTGTTCGCGTGAGAAGGTTGTGATTCTCCTGGGTGGACGCAATGGGCCATGTCGTGGAGTAGTGATGGCGTTATAGGAAACAATTGCTTGCAAATTTTGTGCGAATGTCATGGCTTGTAAGATATATAAGATATATATCGGAATTGAAAAATGGCATCCCCTCATCCTCAATTCCTTGATTTTAAAGGCGGGGTCCTCACGAGGTATGACGATCAATCAAGAAACAAGCTTTTGCCAAGGCGGTCTGCTGGTAGAAAGTGGGTCTTTAAACAACCAAAGCTTAACTTAATCGTCGGTGTTCGCACCGACGATTACGTCGTTGAATCCCGTTGAATCCCGTTGAATCCCGCGTGCCAAAATTCGGGGAAGAACTAATTTTTATAACCCGTCCATTGTTACGCCATCTCACAGGAGCCCTTGACCATTTTGATTATCGAGCTTAGAAGTTTCAAGGGCTCAAGTTTAATCTAATACTGCTGTGCCAAGCTGTGCTTTTGATACTCCCCACATTTCATTTTTTAAGGCCGTGCCGTAATTCACGACTCGCTGTTTCAGCCCTACTACCTAAGTTACCATCAATTCCCCAACAACGCTAAAAAAATATCAGCTTATCTACCAATGGTGTCTTTCCCAAATCAGTCCTTGACGTTCTTATGGGCTGCCGCTACGGACATGGCCAGTGCTGGCGATTGCGACGCAATCGGCTCAATACGCAGCGTGGCTGGCCATTTCTCTCCACAATGTGATGACATGCAATGTTTTATCTCCTACAGATCGTGGTTCTCACATGTGCTCCTGTCTTGTTCTGCGCCGCCATCTACATTTGCTTGGGTCGCATCGTGGTTATCTGCAGACCGGAAATGTCCAGGCTACGACCAGCATGGTACACGCCCATATTCCTGACATGCGACGTCATCTCTCTCGCCCTCCAGGGTACGGGTGGAGCCTCACATCCACTGCAGACGATGCAGATGGACGGCAGCAGGGTATTAATATCATGCTTGGCGGTCTGTCGTTCCAGGTCGCGACGATTGCTCTCTTCGGGTTCCTTTTCCTCGAGTTCCTGTGGCGAACCCACTCATCACACAAAGTCAGCAACGATCTCCAAAAATGCCTCGCTGGCGCAGTCGAAGAAGTGGACAGCATACCTATGGTCGTTGGGTTCGGCAACGTTGTTGATTCTCATCCGTTCGATTTACAGAGTCGCCGAGATGGCAGGTTTTTCTCATCAAGGTCCATGTCAAGCTCGCGGTCCACATAACTAGGCACATTGTCGTCGACCACCAGACGTAGTTTTCGCTGGACTAGATCTTCGAGCTGGCGCCCATATTCTTGATCCGCCTCTGAGAGAGGCCCACCGTCCTCAATGGCCTTCCAAATTAGATAAGAGCCAAGATAACATTTCGCATTCACCAAAGACCGCACTAGCATCAAGTCGATGCGGGTATCGCCATAGATGTCGATAATGCGCTTATAGATCTCGGCGCCTTCATCGTGCCGATTTATACCTTTGTCGTATATAACTGCTATAGAAAGCTCCAAACTCACAGCAACAACAGTTCTGTGCTCCTTTTTCGCGGTTTGTATGGCGGTATTATAGGCCATTAGAAGCCAGTCCAACTTCTGGGAATAGAGGGCCGCCGCGATGTATTTGAAGTCCTCTTCGTCCTGGGTCCATATTCCAGTTAGAAGGGCCTCTATTAAGCCTGTGTACTCTTTATCGGGGAGCCGCACGTCCATTCTAGTTAGTTTGGCTGTAATGTTGTCAAAGGTTTGACGAAACCAGAGTAGCGTAATCAATTTTCTGAGGCAGAGGTAGCACCGCATGGCATAAGACGTTGCCTTTCAGGGTAGACAATCTCCCGATCCTCTTTTTTGAGCTCTCGGTAGCAAATCGCAAGGCGATGGCAGACTTTGTGTAGATCGATATCCCATTTCTTATTGTGCAATGCTTTAAGTTCTTAGTACATCTCAACATCAAGCTCCGCCGCTGTATCATACTTGCACATCTCTATGTACAGCCACGATTTGCTATGTCGGATAGGCCACTGCTCTTCTTTTGGGGCGAGGGAAGCCGATTTTTCGAAGTACTCCAATACGTGAGTATAATGTCCAAAGTCTCGAAGCGTAGCACTTAATCGAAGGTTCCAAAGGGCGTCTTGATCTAGCGAAAGCCAATTTGCACATTTCAAAATAGTCTCAGCGGAGACTAAACCTGGTTTTGGCTCTTCGCCGCTTCGAAAGGCCATAAAACCCGCTACTGCTCTGGCATCTAACAGCCACTCTCCACTGCTTGTAGCAAGCCATCGTTTGCCAATCAGACGAATAATATTGCTAATAAGATCGGCGTCATTTTCAGCGGTTGCGAGGCCGTACCATTCCTTGATTTCCGGTGAACTCTTAAGCCAGAGCTTAAGGAGGTCAAGGATGTTGCGGGTGGTGAGCTGGGTGTTTCAATTTACATCCGCAAGGCCTGGGCTTTTTGTCAACACAGACATCAGGCCGTGGGCAATAGCTTCCTTATCCTCTTCGCTCGTTTTAGTAATATCAATCTTTCGGAGCAATTCCAGCCAAACAGAGGCCACATATGACCTTAACTCCAATGCAACCGGTTCTTTAGGGCTGTTTGGCTCGCAAGACATGATATCTAAACATGCACAGAAAACCGGAACCCTCGCATTTCTGATATCAACTCCAACTGGCAAGGTGTTTTCTCCGCCTGAGACTGGGCCTTCCTTTTCATCATGGGAAAAAATCGCCAAATGAGGCGTGGCTAAACGTAACTTCCGTTGTAAGTGGGTCAAAGTCTGATTCGTCCTCAGCTTCATCCCAGTTTCGGAAACTCGATTGCGCTTAAAAGTGTGATACATCTCATCAGGGCGAGGGGTCAAGTATAGCCCTGATCTTTCGTAGGGGATTTTGATCCTGTGTTGCATGCGTAGATTGTGAATTGACTAAAGTAGATACGTCAACGTGGAGCTTGTCCACCGCGATCGCTATGCTCTTCACTTCAGATAGGGTTTCGGCGCCAACAATCCCCTTCTCGCTATCGAGCAGCTTGCCTAGTTTTTGCATGGCCTCTTTGCCTTCGTCCGTTGCCCCAATAAAACTCTTGCCGAAAGAGACGAGTCTCCCACACTTAATCTTCTTTTGTGATATCGCGAGGATCTCTAATATGACAGCCAAGATTTCAGCCATTTTACCCCCGAGCCCTCAAGACATTAAATGGTGTGCATAAGTCTTAAGGCGGACTGTACGTCCTGCATCGGTTGTATTAATGGTCGGCTGTTAGCTTATGAAAATTATAGAGTAATAGATGTTTCACCTTCAACGCCTCCAGAACTTCCACGATCGCATCGTACTTTTCTGAGACTCCTTTCGCTGCCCCTACCAAGTACTGGACGGCTGCAAACACAAAAATACTAGGTGGAAACACCATTGCGCCAGCCTCACCTGCAGCAGCACCCACCAGTTCGATCGGGCGCATGGCTGCTCATAAGGCGGCGTACAAGCCATGGAGCTTTTGTCTAAAGTCAGCAAATACCTTGTTTTGGTCTTCTATAGCGTCTCCTCGTTCACAGTTGCCAAACTTCTAAGAGAGGGACCATCCAGCATTTATTCGTGACCTTTTCGTATCGACGAATGGCAGCCTCCCAGATCTTTGAAACGTGGTTCGGTTCTGGACACCCAACGTTCAGGCACTTGGCTGCTCCTGTTGGCGGGTGGTTCTCGGTGGTTCTAGAAATTCATAAATCTTAACAATCAGATTTATATAGCAACCTTCAGCAATTATGCTGCAGATCTGAGTTGAAGAAATTGTGTGCATGTGCGAGTCCATTCCTGTGTTGAAACAGACTAGGATCACCGGCTTCACTGGTGATCACCAAGTCCGCTCCCCCGACATCGGTGCAAGGATATCAGAACCCTGTATCGTATTAGTAAGATCTCTGTATTATATTAGGTTTAGTGGTTAGCATTAATGTAAAAAAAACTCTTCACACCCAAATGCACGGTCTATTATTTCTTCACCTTGTCAAGCTAAGAAAATCGAGCCCGCAAAAGAGGAGCTCCCCCCTGTCAGCACAATGCTTAAAGTGGCCCAATCACAAATAGGAATAAGGGTGCTTAGCACATGGCACTTTAAAGCTTGAAGTAACGAGGGTAAATAAAGTTTACGAATGCTGAGATGATCCTTCTTAATGTCGTAATCTTCCGTACTCACTTTCCCTTCTAATCGCTACTCTACTATTGCGGCCTTTTTGCTATGGTCTTCCTAACGTGCGTACGTTCCCATCTTTCCGATGCCACAGCTCACGGATGCGCCAACTATACTCGATTGTTGGCGTTGGCGCGGGGTATAGTGCTGAGATACTCTTCGTGGCTAATGTGACCTCACCAGCCATTTCCTTTTGCCCTCGCTATGACATTCGGCGTGTTGACTGTTGGGCGGAATGTCTAGGTTTACCACGTGGACTGGAAAACTTCGTCCAACGATTCCTTATGCCTTGTATAACCGAAATACGTTGAGAAGTTCTAGACGTATAACGTAATGGACCCAGCGCTATACCTACCTCATCTCTACTCGTTCTGCTTTATGGAGTACGCACCCACTCTCTTCAACCCCTACTTAAACGCATCTGAGTGCCGATTGCAGAGGTTGAGTTGTTTATTGTACATAACTAATCTCTTGTTGTTTTTGGTAACGTTGCCTCGCTTGCTCCCGAGTGGAAGGTGCTAAAATCAGAAAGCGATAACTTAAAAGGTTTTAGTTGCTTTGGACACTAAACCCTACTCATACCTTATCTTAATCTATAGAAGTCCGGAAAGTCATTATGAGCCCATATTATTGACGAGCTACAAGAGTTGTAAGTATGACCCTGGGTGCAAATGCAATACGCAACGTGTATTTTGTGTCCCATTCCACAACGCCATACCCGTTCTAATGCCTTAATAGTTCGGTTAGATCAGGAATTAGCGAGTTACTATGTATTTCGCATCAGACAACTGGGCTGGCGTACACCCAGCCATCTCAGCCAGACTTGCCCAAGAAGGTGGCGGATATGCCCCGGCATATGGCACGTCTGATCTTGACAGCGAGCTTGAGCGGCTCTTCAACGAGATATTTGAGTGCGAAGTTGCCGTCTTCTTCGTTGCAACAGGCACTGCGTCCAACTGCCTGGCCCTAACCTTGGAATCCAAGCCTGGCGGTGTAGTCTTCGCACACCGCGAGGCACACATTGTCGCCGATGAGTGCGGTGCGCCTGAATACCTCTCCGGCCAACTGCGCATCGCGACTGTCGATGGTCCAGATGGGAAGATGGATCCTAACCTCTTGCGTCGGATAGTCGAGCGATCAGCTGAGAATGATGTTCGCCGTGGTTGTCCGAGCACTATCTCCGTGACACAGGCGACTGAAGCTGGCACAGTGTACTCTCTCGCGGAAATCGACGCTATTGCAGCTGTGGCGAGGGACTTCAATATTCCACTTCACATGGACGGAGCACGCTTTGCCAATGCCCTTGTATCTCTAGGCTGTACGCCGGCAGAGATGACTTGGAAGCGCGGTGTCGACATGCTATCGTTCGGTGCCACTAAGAACGGCTGCTGGTGTGCGGAGGCAGTTGTACTTTTTGACCCTAAAAAGGCCTCTGGGTTTCCGTTTGTCCGCAAGCGTGCGGCTCAGTGTTTTTCAAAGTCGCGTTTCATCTCTGCCCAGTTTCAGGCATACTTTGCCGATGGATTATGGCTCGATCTCGCTCGGCAAGCCAATGGAATGGCAACGGAACTTGCTAACATATTTTCTGGATTGCAATCTACTCGACTACTATCAAGACCACAGTCTAATGAAGTCTTTGTGGTTCTCAATAAGAAAACTATCGCCAATATAAGGGCTAAGGGCGTGGAGTTCTACGACTGGCCTGCCCCGTCAGACCTTAAAATGACAGATGATGAGCAGCTTTGCCGCTTTGTTACAAGCTTTGCAACAACAGCAGAAGATGTTAGTCGCTTTAGCGATATAGTGCAAATAGCTACTAGCGATAGCAACTTTTTATACTCTCAAATATAAAAATAGTTGGGGTGGTGAACCCTAGCGAATACCCACTGTTTTATGCTTTTGTCGTTTTCAGAAAACATTGAGACAAGCACGGGTTCATGGCCTTTATAGTAAAACATGCAGACTTCATTACCCTATAATATATATATTATCAGTCTATTGCTTGCATCTAATTATTCAGGTTCGAAAACTAAACGTCATATCTGTCATTGGCTATTAAAGAGTAGCTGTATTCTGCTAAATACATCTTATTTAGATAACACCCCTCAAGTCCGCATACAAACTCATGCCATCAGCTCAATATGCTGTAACTCCCTATGAAACAATTTAGTTAGTAAATTTTCCCTTGCTAAGGCATTCATCACGATCACTTACTTTTGTACTTGCTGCCCAACCTTCATAGCCGGATACACAACCCCCTCGCCCTCGTCCTTGCCCAAATTGAACTGTTCTGCTCTCGCCTTCCTGGACTCCTCCGCTAAGCTAAGAATCGGAGCCAGGTCAAAGTCGGAGCTCAGATGCCAAAAGAACGTCGACGAGATGCGCACGAGCGGCCGCTCTGGAACCTCGACCTTGCGACGCTCAATGACGTCTATCGTCTGCTCATTCACAACCACCTCGTGGAATCCCGCCTTGATCAGCCCGCCCGTGATGTGCTCTAGCTGCTTGCCAGCCTGCACGAGCAAATAGTTTCCGGGCGGGATCTTGACGGGGATGCGCTTGCCGGTGTTGCGAGCCCAGATATGCAGGCCTGGGTAGCGGGAGCGGCCGTGGATAGTAAGGAAGTTAAGGTCCGTGTGGAAGCCAGCAAGGATGGTGTCTTTGCTACCGTACTTCAATAGATCAGATGCTGTTGGGGCAAGGAGGTGCGGTCTTCAAGATGGTTAGATAAGAACTTTCTTGAGGTTGAAAGGGGTGACCAAACTCACCCGTATGTGCCTGCCTCCTTAAATGTTGATTCTGGCAGCCCTAGACCAACAGCAGTCATTTCAGAAAGACCTTCGACTCTGTAAAGTGAGAGACTTAGTGACCAAGTTCTTGCATACGATGAGACGTGACTTACGCGTTCTTCATAGACGACCCCCACTTGTCCATCACCTGAGGCCATTGCTCTCGAATGTGCGGCGCCTCAGGTACGATATTATCTGCATTTAGGGCGGGAAACTTCGTCTCATATGGCGGTGGGCCAGCAGACATTCTCCAGAAGAAACGACACTTGGGATCGGGCGAATGCGCTGTAATGTCAAGCGGCCGTTCAGCCGGGTCTAGCTTCTCAATGATACGCAAGCATGGCTCGTCCACCGCACACTTTGGCTTCTCAGTATTTTCAAGCGTGACGCCAATCTGGTAACCTAGCTCCGGCCGTTCATCCTTTTTGAGTTCGGGCTCGGGCTGTGCGAAGTAGTCCTCCAGCAGGTCTAAGAAGGTGATATTGTCCTCCTCAGACACACGCGAGTCGTGCAGCAGGAGCGCACCGTAAGTTACCAGAGCTTGTGCGGCTTTCTTACACTCTGCCTGCACGTCGGCTGCGTCGTGTGACCCGTTGAGGAAGATGTCGAGGTCGATGATGGGCAAGCCCATCGAAAGATCTTGCGCGGTTGTCATTTTGGCACAGGTTCCACTTATACAGTATGTTCTAATGCGCCTAAGGCGTGAGTTAATCTCGAGTTGATTGCAATTTCGATTGTGAGGGACAAAGTATCGCGTTTATGCCGCTGGTAAGCGACCAGTCGATGCCGGGTTTTAGTCAAGTTATCGACGCGGATTTGGCCGCATGGTTTATCCGGCGTCGAGGTTCGGGTGTGCATCACCAATTTATCTAAAAGCCTCACTTTTAAGTAATCGAAGAGCTTTCAGAGAGGCTAACGTATTCTAGTAACGGAACATGCCCAAGCTATATATGAAACGTTCATAGTCTTTGGTAGTTGGCCTAAAACTACCGTGGCTGCTCTATTCACTAAATATAGCACTCCAAGCTTGGTATATATCGCAATCCTGCAAATTGCATATGAGAGTTACATCTGAGAACCAGTTCTTGCGACACATCCAACCGCCGTACGCCAAAGCTACATAGTAACCAACACCATCTCCTCACTGCCTATGCCTTCTTCTCCTCCGCCTCCGCCGCACCCTTCGCCTCGAACGCTCTCGCCCTTGACTTCAAGTCCGCGTTATAATCGGCCTGGTACTGCGACTTATCGGTACCAGGAACGAATACCGGTGCATCGGTGAAGAGATAGTTCATCTCCTCAAGCGGGATCTTCTTGGTCTCTGGCAGGATGGCCCAGAAGAAGGGGGCGTTTGTGAAGTTACAGATGACGAAGACGTAGAAGCGCCACTTGATGGCCGTCATCGCGATGGGAGTGACTTGCCCGATCATCGTGTTGAACGTGAAGGACATCATGGTGGCGAGCGAGACGCCCTTGGCGCGCGTGCGGATGTCGAAGATCTCGGCGGGGATGATCCAGGAGAGGGGAACGCAAGTTACACCCAGGTCACGATAATAAATCCCCTGAAGGCTCCGATATTTGTGGTCAACCCGGGAGGGAAATTTGCTGCTTAGGTTAGCGCTGGCCTAAATACTCGGCTGATGAACTTACCAAGAAGAGCAGTAGCGACAATGAACGTCACCATGTTCGCCAAGTTACCATAGATCAGCGTCCAGCGACGTCCGAAACGGTCAATAAGAAGGATGCATAGGGCCTGTGCAATTAAGGCGATTACGCTATTGATAGCCTGGTAGCGAAGCGCAGCGTCGACACTTGCTTGTAGAACAACTGCAATCAACAAACGCCTGAAGCATGAGCGGTTGCGGAAGAGCTCGCCGTATTGGCTTCGTGCTCATGTTCGAAGCTGATGTTCTCCTGGATCTGATCGAACTCGGCACGGACCCATACATCGTTGACATCGCCCTTAGCATGGAGTCTTGCCAATGTCTAGAGACCTTCCTCGCCACTCGTTATCGATCAACCATCTTGGCAATTTGGGGAAAAGAAGATCAGTGCTCCTAGTAAAATGGCCGGGAGGAGTTGAAGACCAAGTGGGATACGCCACTGTCCTTCGTTTTTGATGCCAATGAATGTTCCGTAGCTGACCTAGCTAGCAATCAACGCACCGATTCCCAGCATGAAGTGTTAGAGCGCGTTGATACGGCCACGGATCGAGGGATGCGAAATCTCAGCTTGGTAGAGAGGGATGATCATCGTAAGGAAGCCAACACCGGTGGCAGAAAGTTATTGATGGAGAGTTCTGCACTTATGAGCAACAACGGGCACGAGCTCTGACCCTGGGCCTCCGATTATTCCTCTCACATTCCTCCCATGCCTGCCATAACTGCCATAGCTGCCATGTTTCCCATGGCTCTGATGCCTGCTCCCATGCCTGCTCCCATGCTTCCTCCCATTACCCGTACTGCACTGGAGAACTCTGGGGCCAATCGAGCCGTCTGGAACCAGTAACTTCCATCAATAGCGGTGTGATATCAATCCTAACCTTGAACCCTGGCGGGCGCCAACGTCTTGTTGTAACCCACCAGAGAAAGTATTGCCGTGAGTGTGGGGAGTGGGGTTGGGGATTGTCACAGCTGTCAAACGTCTTGATGAAACACTCATACGCATCTCATAGACACTCATTACTTCAAGCCTTCATTCCCTGCGCAGATTGCCATTCTGAAGCTATACAACAAAGAGGTTCTTGTGGGAGATTCTGACAGACTACTGGAAAACTCTAGATGGCGTCAAGGGACCAATGTGGTTTTCGGGCTTGCTACTTATTTCCGATTCTGTAGCCGCTCTATGCTATTCCAAAATTCCTGGCTCAATCCACTACTCTCGCAAGTTTTATACTTGATCTTGGGGCCACCTGATTAGTCCCGCTTGGCCAACCCGACTGGGGCAAAGATTGCACTTCTTAATTTTAAACCGATCTAACCCTCCTCCAGAGGTCCGCGTTCCTACTATATGCGCCCTGATCTCGCCTGGGAGGGCGTCGAGACCAACGAGTTTGGCACGGATGAGTTCTTGCACTGGCTTACGGTTCTGGGGAACTGTCTGGCTGATTATGTCTAGATGTACGGCCCCTGGCAAGTCGGCCAGCTGAACGCAGAGGACTACTCCAAAAAAGCCATCGTCTTCGCCAAAGCTCTCAGACTCCTCGACCGTCCCTCGTCGTGCGGCGAAACCTGATACTCAAGCTGGGACTTCGAAGTCCTCCGCTCCTGCATCCCATACGTAGACATGCATAGCATCCACATTGCGAGCTCCGACCACATGATGAACGTCAGCGCGCCCCTCATTGCCGAGCGCGCCATCGAAGCCACAGCTGCATTCATCGACGTCGCGCGCATCGAGAACAACATCGTGCCCACTAAGCACACACCACTATCTGCTTCCGAGTGGAAAGTGTGGCCGACGCGGGCGCCTGGGAACCTTGGGGCGGAGGAGAAGTACACGCTCTCTGATGCGCTGGCGGTGGGGGTGTGGCTCAATGTGTTTGTGAGGCAGGCTAAGTATTTGGGCATGGCGAATATTGCGCAGTCGGTTAATGTGATATCGCCGCTTATGACGACCGAGAAGGAGATTGTGAAGCGGACGACGTTCTGTATTTTGGAGTTGTTTAGCAGGTATATGAGGGGTTGGACGGTGCATACGCATGTTATAGGGGGGGTGTATACGGGGGAGACGGAACCGGCGTGGTTGAAGGGGGTTCAGGAGGAGGGGATAAATACGCTGGATGTTAGCGCTGCCGTTGGTAAGGATGGCTAGGTCAGCCTCGGCGGTGAGTATGGATGAGAATAAGGATGTTGAGGTGGATTTGAAGATAGGAGGTGGGGCGGAGGGCGGAGTGGAGACACGTACGGTGACGGGCGAGAATGTGAATGTGGTCAATACTGAGGAGGAGGAGGTGAGGATAGCAGAGGGTACGTGGGATGGAAAGGGGAAATACACGTTCAAGAAGCATTCCTTCACGCTGTTGATGTGGAAGAGCGTGGAGAAGATCTTAGACAATGAATAGGCCGTAGATAAAGAATAGAAGGCCATTGTTCAAGTCGGTCCTCGCATAGAGGTTGATTACCATAGCTACTGAGTGCCAGGCGTATCGAACCCCTCTGAAATCTTACATTCCGTCATCTAGCCAACCTTACGATAAAGCGGTATTCTTTCTCCGATGGTGATATTATAGCTCGAGGAACATGCAAAATATGTAGATGAAAGCAACAGCTGTCTCCGCAGTCTACTCGATTATGCCGAGGAAGGCCGATCAACTACGATCATTTTTTTCAATTATGCGTACGAAGCACAGAAGCGAACAACATCAAATACCTTCATCTATTTGTCTGGAACCTGCTTTACTAGAGCAATGCCTGAAACAAAATTAGGGGACATGTTCAAAGGCCCAACGGACGCTTGCCGAAGTGGTAGTGATATGAAGAGGTTGTGGAGTGCTAACAGGCAGAGGTAGTGATAGAAAGAGGTAGTGTCGGTGGTGACAGGTAGATGTAGTGAGAGGCGGGAGTGACAATAGGCAAAAGTGGTGAAAGCCAAGCGGTGACAGACCGAGGTGGTGACAGGAAGCTCAACCGTAACGTCGTCAAAGAATCTCTAGCAAAGAACAAGGATCGATGGATTCAATCTCGACCGTTTTACTCACCCCCCCCCCAAGAAGGCCACTAGGGGATCCTCCTCTTTCAACAAATCGCCAAGTATGACGATCCTCACCCACGGAAGAGGTCGCTATAAATAAATATGCCAACAATAGCGCCTGCTACTACTGCCGCTCTGGTGAAAGGCGACGGCGTGCACATCATATTTGACCCAAAGACAGAACCGCAAGCCTAGCAACGCTCTAATATTTTATCTCCACCCTCCCCAAGGCTCTGTCTATATCTAACACACACCCAGAACGGCCATACCCCCCTCCATCTTCCCGCGACCATTACACCCCTATTCACCGCACATCCAGCTCCCTCGCCTTCTTATTCGCGGCCGAAATATTCACCGCCGGCATAAACTGCCTCGCCTGTCCCAAATTCTCCGCCGCCGCCGCCAGCAACGAAAACACATCCCCCTGCACAGCCGTAAACGCTTTACCCTCTCCCATCGCCTTCACCTGCTCGGGCGTCCCCATCGCCGCTCCCGCATACGGCATATCATGCTTCCTCAGCGTCTTGTTCATCGTCTCAATGACCTCTAGGAACTCCGGCTCCTCGCCCCAGAAGCCCGGAAGGCCCATGGAAACTCTGCAATCGAGCGAGCCGAGCCACACCGCATCGATGTGCTCACCGCACTCGGTGAGGATGGCGTCGAGGTTGTCGACGGCCTCCTTGGATTCAACTTGGATGATGATGGCGGCTTGGTTGTTGAGGTTTTCCCACAGGGTGAGCTCGGGGTTGACGCCTGTGTCTGAGATGCCCGGGAGCCAGCGTCCGGGGGGCGCGGAGCGGGTGCCGTTGATCTTCTTGCCGAATTTGGCGGCGGAGACAATGTGTTTCGCGTCCTCGACCGTCTCGACTTGCGGGACCATGATGCTAGCTCCCGTGTCGAGGGCGTATCCGATGTTGGCGTGATCGTGGCCGCAGATTCTGGGTGCTTGTTAGCTCCATCCATGCCTTGCTTTCTAGGGGGTGGCGAAGGGAGGGATCTATCTTACCTGATCCACGCCATTGTCCTTCCCTCGCTGACCAACTGGATATCATGCGCCATCCTGGTCATCTCACCAATGTCCATGGGCGAGTGCTCCTGGTCGATGAGGATAACATCGTACCCGACCTGTGCGATGACCTTGATGATCGACGGGGCGGAGAGCATGAGGAAGTAGACTTGGAGAGGGGGGATCCTGCCCTCGTGTGCGTCGCGGAGGGCGTTGCGCGCGCGGTGAGGCTGCAGGAGGGACGGGGCGCGGTAGGCGCGCATGTCTGTTGGGGTTGTTGCGGCGTGGGCGGTGCCATTGGCGCTGCCGGAGGTGCCGTTGGTGGCCATTGTTGGGTGAGGGTAGGTGAGGGATTGAGGGGTGAGAGGTGAGGGGTTTATGTCAGGTAGGTAGGTAGTGAGGAGGAAGACTTTTGGTAATGACGAGGTGATATTGATCAACGAGGAATCGACTTAATTATGAGACAAAAAAAACCCTCACCAGCGGGACCACACGGCTCTATATACTCCATCAGATACACTCTGTGGTACGCGACAGGTAACCGTAAGTTACGCAACGTGCCTTCTCATCTCGGATCGCTCTCATCCAAGTGGAGCATGCATGGACTTATGCTTCTTATCACCGAAGGAAGGGAATCTTGGCGAATTGGGCGGCCGCCTGATATGTAAACACCGGCGAGTAACCCTTGCCCTGCTCCATAACGTTATATAGAACCCCGCAGTCTGACGGTTTTGGGCCTTGATGCGGGTTGGCCGGCGTGGGACTGACTTGATTGCGGCCGCCTTCACCGAGTCTCACCGTTGCATGTTATGGCCTTTTTAGTGGAGATGCAACGGTAGACGATCCAGTGAGGGATGTCCGTTGGTAGGTAGGATCTAGATTATATCACGTGGAATCGGATCCTAATCGAATCCTGTGTCTCCAGATTTGTTGATTATACGGGAACTCCGTAGACTATTCAACGAGTCAAGGCGTATCTCGTTTGACAAATACCATAGTAGAGCTGAGTGAGACGCATCAGTAGGCAGTGAGACGGAAGGAAGCTCACAGATAATACGTGGGGCTAATGAATGACCTGCCACTAAAGGAGGTAAAAAAGCTCTGACCACGACCATAACCCAACCTACTCGATAATAACGTTGCTCGCCGGAATCCAACGGCGGAAGAAAGGTAGAGACCGGTAGAGACAGCAAAAAGCAGCAGAGAGACAACCGCAGATCAGTAAAGACAGTAAACCTCCTCCTAAACCCCGATCTCCAATCTCCAATCCCCGAAATAGATCAGTAATCCCCTCCACCCTAAACCATCATGGGCAATTTAACCTGCTTCGCATTCCCCCCCTTCGCTCAGCTTCCACACAGCCCTGACAAGCCTTACGGCCTATCAGCCGCAACGCTTACAGAGCTGACAGATCAAATCCTAAGCTAACCCTCCCCCAACCACATCAACTGCGGACCTCTTACCGCCAAACAAGCCAAAACGTCGCTTGACCGCCTTCCAGGCCTCCACGCCTGCAACATACACTGCCAGCACACCCACCACCACGCCCCACTCCCACGTAATCCCCATGTGCCTAAACACCACCGTATTAACCGTCGGGATATAGACGACGGGAAAAGTGACCAGGAACCCGGCGGCCACAGCCCAGAACAAGAAGCGGTTATACCAGAGCGCCCCTCCGACACCCCCGAGGGGCCCGCGGAACTTGGCAGGGTCGAGCGCGAACAGGGACCGCGAGAAGTGCTTTACCTCCCAGGCGGTGACGAGGATGAGGAAGGAGAGGACGGCGAAGACGGTTGCGCGGGCGCGGAAGACGACGTCGCAAGAGGGGTTGTAGCCGTCGTTGCAGTCGTCCCCCAGATCGCCACCTCCGGCGCCGTAGACGACGATGACGAAGGCGGCGAGGCAGAGGGAGCCCATTAGGGTGCCGTAGATCATTTTGTCGACGATGAGTTCGCGGGTGAAGACGCCCATGCGCAGGCTGTGGGGGGGGCGGAGCATGATGTCTGAGGTCTTCTCCTCCATTCCTAGGCCGAGAGCGAGGAAGGAGGAGGTGATCATGTTTACCCAGAGGATTTCGAGGGGGGAGAGCGGGAAGATGGAGGCGCCTGAGGCGTCGCGGAAGGCGAGGGCGATGAGGAGGAGGAGAACCTGCGCGATGTTGGAGATGAGGAGGTGCAGGAGGAATTTCTGGATGTTGGCGAAGAGGCGCCGGCCTTCTTCGACGGCTTTGACGATTGAGGCGAAATCATCGTTGGTCAGGATCATGTCAGCGGCGTCTTTAGCGACGTCGGAGCCGTTGAGACCCATTGCGATGCCGACGTCGGCGCGTTTGAGGGCTGGGGCGTCGTTGACGCCGTCGCCCGTCATAACGCAGAAGCCTTGACGACGGTGGAGGGCGTCGACCATGCGGACTTTGGTGGCGGGGCTACATCTGGCGAGGACGAGGGGGAGGGGGTCGAGGGCGTCTATCTCGTCTTTGGAGAGCTTGTCGAATTGTCCGCCTTGCATGACGATGGTATTAGCGTTGGATGTCGTGAAGCTGAGATCAGTGATGAGGCCAATCTCCTTGGCAATCGCGGTAGCGGTATCGATGTGGTCACCAGTCAACATATGAATGCTAATACCAGCTTTCGTACAGGCCGTGATAGCACCAGCCGTCTCAACCCGAGGCGGGTCATAAAGGCCCACAAGTCCGAGAAAGTCCAAATTACCCTCCGTCCATTCTCGACTCTCGATATCCTTCTTCGAAGTAGATGCAACAGATTTGGTTGCAATACACAAGACGCGAAGACCCTCACAGGCCAGCTCTTGCATGCGCTTCTCAATCTCGGCTTTCTCGGCGGGCGAGGATGTGAGCATGGGGAGGACGCTCTCGCCGGCTCCTTTGAGAAAGACGTCGATGGTATCAGTGCCGTTTTGATAGGCCACTGACATGCGCTTGATTGCGGAGTTGAATGGATGTTCGGCCACAAATGTCATTTCACCGCTGTCTAGGATATCGGGTTTGCCGAGGCCGAAACGTGTGGCGAGGACTTGGAGGGCGATGTCCGTAGGCTCTCCCACTGCAGTCCAATCGCTGTTTTCATCGATGTTGTGGTAGACTGTAGAGAGATTGCAGAGGGCAACAGCATGGAGCAGTTTCTCAAGAGTTGAATTCAACTCAGTGGACTTGTCAATTGTCACTCCATCAATCATTGCCTGACCACTGGTAGGGTCAAACGTATTCGTAGTATCGTAAATCCCAAGCGTCCCATTCTCCGGGACCCACACCTTCCTAGCAATCATCTTGCCCTGAGTGAGCGTACCAGTCTTATCCGAGCAGATATGCGTAATACCGCCAATAGCCTCAAGAGCCTGCATTCTCCTTACAATCACATGATCCTTTGCCATAGCCTTAATGCCGATAGCAAGGGTAATAGTCAAGACAGCGATCAAAGATTCAGGTATAACAGCTACAGCGACACAGATTCCATAGATGACGACCTCACCCTTGAGATCCCACTTGTTTACGGAGAAAACGATGATGGCGAGGAGGAGAGCCAAGCCAAAGAGTAAGATGGCGAATTTGCTGAGTGTAACATGTAGAGGCGTGCCGACGAGACCGAGGGTGTTCTTGACACCATCCCGTAGAGAAATGAAGAGGCGCTTGAAAACATTCGCTTCCGTGGTTGATTTACGATCTTGGAGCAACTCAGCGATGCGGCCAACTTCGGTCGTCATGCTGGTAGCGATGACAATGCCGCTTCCGCGACCCTTGGTCACGGTAGTGGCCGAATAGGCGCAATTCGTGCGGTCTCCGAGGGGAAGGTCTAACATGCCTAAGGTAATCTTGGGTAGTTTGATGACTGGGAGTGACTCTCCAGTGAGAAGAGCCTCATTGATCTCCAAATTGACGCCGTCAAAGATCCGAAGATCCGCCGGGACAACATCGCCCACAGAGATCTGGACAATGTCCCCCACGACAAGAGCCTCGGCTTTGACGGCGTCGACCTTTCCCTTGTTACGAACGACCTTGCATGTTGGGGCCGCGAGGCCCTGGAGGGACTTCATATTCTTCTCCGCCTGATAATCCTGGACGAACCTAAAGGGACGTAGTCAGTATCCCAAAGCGGTAATGCGAGGTCTAAGCACGCCTCTTTTCTTCAAACTTACCCAAGAATGATATTCAAGAGGATGACAGCTGTGATGACGGCGCCTTCAAGGAAATCTAGTGTGCCATACGACAGTGCCATAGCCAGGAGGAGGACCTTTTGCCACCATGTCAGTATCCCATTGTCGGGTACAACAACATGCACAGGTCAAGAGCAGAGCCCCGTGTGGGGGGTTGTCTGATTAGGCATGGAGAACGGCAGGGTGCATTGTATTGCGTAAAAGCGTAGCGTCAGGGTTTCTCTTCTTACGATGGTTAAACTATTGGAGACCTGTCTTAAGAGGATTTTCCACGCCGATATTCCCCCACCGCTCGCAAGCTTGTTGGGGCCATCCCGTTCAAGTCGAGCCGCTGCCTCCTTTCCCTCGAGTCCATGTCTTTGGGCATGATTAGTAAGCTCTGAAGAGGGCTGTCGCTGCGAACTCACTGAAGGTCAACATGAAGCTTGCTTGCGATGGCATCGACATCGATGGTGTGAGCGGATTCCGCGCCGCCGTCCCAGGATCTTTCTGTGTGAGTGGTCTTCCAGTCGGGGAGGTCGTCTTCGTTAAGGGTGTTGCTTAGGCTAGATCCGGACGAACAGTTCTTGCCAATATGGGTTACAGCAACCTTTTCCTTTGCGCTATCTACCCGATCAGGGCGCAAGGTAGGTGGTGGTGAGGGAAGGTTGTGCCATTCCTCAAGTGCGGATTCCGGATTAGTAATAACCATTCAATAAGAGGTGGACAGGTAAAGTAAGAAAGGGGGCGTTGAACTACTAGATGGTTCAACGACGAAATGGAAAATGTCTGAAGAAGGAATGTACTTCAAAGAGGAAGTAGAGTACTGAAAGGGAAAGGAGATTGAAGATGGGGATGCGGGGGCTTTGTAAAGCGGCGCACGCAGTCCAGAGTATCATCGTGACCAGATGATATGCAGCAGGCCTCCCGTCTCGGCACATAGAAGTGGGAAAGTTCCAAGAGTTGGCGAGGCGCGATGACAATGCCAAGTGCCGTCCAAGATCCGATTGGGGTTAAAAATGAGGCGGAGTCTGGGTATTTGGCTGGATTCGCGACAGATGATCCAGGGCAGTGGTGCAACTCACTCTAGACACAGTACAGCATATTCGCAGCGGATTCATCCGAGGTGAGACGAGATCCGTCTACGAGAAGTATTAGCAGTGGTATATCTTGGCTGTAGGAAGTAGGAAGAGCAAAGAGGCAATTGTCTGTACTATACCGAGTTCATGTCGCGTTGTTCTCAGCTCATGCAGGGCAGCTGCAGCAATGGGGCAGCTGCAGCAATGAAGCAATACAATTAAACACAGACTCGCACCGTACAGTTATATAGTTATGTACGGAAAGTTGAAGTCGGACCGAGAGAAACATGCCTGACCGATATCAGATCATCCATCTCCCCTGCGAGCTCGAATCCCACAAAATCACGTGCATGACGCAATCCTCCCCCGCCAAGTCCGTCCCGCCCCGCCTCCCCCCACCCTCCCCTCCCATTGGCCAGCCCATCTCGCCACAACCTCCCACCGCAAGCACACAAAAGCTCTTCCCTCTTCCCCTTCCAACAGCCGCTCCTGCACCCCCCCCTCCTCGCTTACTGCCCTACCCCTCCATACATCACAATGTTCTTCACCCGCCTCGCTCCCCGAGTCTCCTCCTTCTCCTTCTCCTTCTCTACTCGCAGCATCAGCAGAACAAACCCCTTTACAAACACTTCCCAAAGAACATTCTCCCAAACTGCAGCTATCATGGGCGTTACCAAGACCACCACCCAGGAGGGCACCGGCGCGCAGCCACAGAAGAACCAGACTGTTACCATCGAGTATACCGGCTACCTCAAGAAGGCTGATGGGAGCAAGGGCACTGTGTATGTCCTTGTCCCCCTCCACCCATCCTCCCCCAAGCTCCCAAGCTGGATCTAGCTATCAATCATCAATCAAACCCCTCTGGCGAAGAGCACAAACTAACTATGTTGTGACCACCAGCTTCGACTCCTCCGTTGGCAAGTCCGATTTCCGCACCCCCATCGGCGTTGGACGCGTCATTCGCGGCTGGGACGAGGGTGTGGTCAACATGAAAGTCGGCGAGAAGGCTACCCTGGATATCACCGCCGATTACGCCTATGGCAGCCAGTAAGCCTTCCTTCCTTCCCCCCTTCCTTCTTCCCCCCTTCCTTCTTCCCCCATTCCTTCTTCCCCCCTTCCTTCTTCCCCCATTCCTTCTTCCCCCCTTCCTTCTTCCCCCCTTCCTTCTTCCCCCCTTCCTTCTTCCCCCTTCCTCTTCCCACCCCCCCCCCCCCTCTTCGACCAGATCCAGATCGAGAGACTCACACACACCCCCCAGAGGCTTCCCCGGCGCCATCCCCCCCAACTCCGACCTCATCTTCGACGTCTGGTTGAAGGCCATCAACTAAGCGTCTTGGGACGTCGTTAATACTGTCTCTATACTATAGGGGGGTTGGATTCGCTTGTGCGCGGCGCGGACGTTCCGGGTGACAGCACAGCTAGACTGCTGCCTGCCTGCCTGTTGAGCAAGGGAGAGGAATAAAGAGGAGTCAAACCGTTTTTGATGAGAGAGCTTGGAGAGGAATAAAGAGGGTGAAACCGTTTTTGATGAGAGAGCTTGATGTGCGATGTGATGTGTATGTGATGGGTATGTGCTTGATGACTATGATATGCGTGTTTAGGGATGACATGCGCGTGTATGCCTTGGGCGGTGGGCACGTGGGTGGTGACTCTTGTGTGACTTTATTGATGTCGGCCTTGCTACATGAACCCCTGGGGATGCTTTACTTGTGATACTCCATCCCTCCCCCATACCTGACCCCTTCCATCTATATGGTCCCATCTGCAAGGCAAACACGGCCCAACCACTCTCGTAACCAACCCCCCACCAAAGTCTACTATCAAGTCATCAGGTTCCACTGTCGCCAACTTACTCTTCGCCGAGTATATTATGGACTCCGTACAGATGACGATTGTGATTAAACAGAACCCCACCGAACGTGTCCGAAAGAGCGGCCACCATAGACCAAGGAAGCTACGGCTTAACTATAGATACTGTCATGCCCGTCTCCCCAGCTACTACAGGGGGCCTCTTTGCGTTGTATGGATATGCTAAAGAGAATAGACGACACCAGCTTTAGGCAACCAGTAGTGTCGAAACGATCAGCGGCATCAACGACAACAGCAGCATCGACCGACAGCATCAGCAACAGCAGCAGCATTGCCCAACAACAACAGCTTCAAACGACAACAACATCCATCCTCACCCCACCCCTCCCGCCCAGCCCAATCCAATCTAAATAGCACAAGCAGCACCATCCCCTCCCACAACTCGAGTCGGGAAGAACTGCATCTATAATAGCTCCTTAACCCCCTTACCCCCTTACCCCCTTTCCTCTCTCCCCACCCTCTCTCGCTGACATCAAGACAACGCCACAAAACACCAAACAAGCCGTTTTGCGTAGAAAATATACTAATATCATCATTATCTATCATAAACATATATCGTAAAATCATAACCTCCTACCCCCGTGAGGGGCATAGGAGTATCCTCCCCAACGCCAAAAAGCACCCTTCCCACCATCCGTATAATATCTACTCGTACCCCCCCCCCCCTTTTCTTCCGTAATATGTGCAACCCCCCCTTTTCTATGTGCATCCTAACAAGCCTCCAGCGCCCTCCCAAACCTCAACCCACTCCCCTCCCTCTCCCTCCTCTCCCCTCTCCCACCCGCCGTCCCAGGCCTCTCATCCCTATTCCCCCTCCTAAAAACACTCCTCATCATCTCCCTCGCCGTCACGACCTCCAAATCCAACGTCACCGGTGACATAGGAACCTTAATCCTCCTCCTATACTTCCCCGCCGGTCTCCCCCCCTCGCAACGCGCTTTATCATCCACCAATGCCAACACCCCCGTTGCAACAACAACATCCGCCACATCCCCCCCCCTAAGCAGCTTCGGGTCCGAGATCCAGAAACTGCATCTCGGGACCCACCCACCCTCCCTCGCCTCTTCAAGCGTTTGCGAGGGCGTCAGGACGTCGGGGACGATATGCGCCACCGCCCCAGCGTTGTTTCCAGAGGAGTTGGAGGTGGGGACGAGGTGATAGCTCTGTCCATCCCGCTTCCAGCTATAGGGGGTACCCCAGTACTCAAAATCCCAGTGCTTCCCTTTACCCGCCGAGCCGCGACGGGTGAGGTCTACGTGTGCGTAGTTTGAGAATTCGAGGTGTGTCGTGTTCGTCTTTCCTTTCTTCCCTTTCTTCCCGGGTAGAGATGAAGGGACAGGGGTAGGGGGGAACTCCTCCTCGTCCTCAGCTCCGGACGAGGAGAAATCACCATCGTCGTCGGAGTCGGTCGCGTAACCGGAGTCGTGGCGCGTAGGGATCGTAAGGAGCGGGGTGGGGTGCGGAGGAGGGTAAGACGCCTTGTTCGACGACGCGCCCCAGGAATCGGCGCGCTTGACACCCCTGCGCGTCACAGTCGCGAGGGCGGTTGACATAGAGCGCTGGAGCTTCGGGTGTTTAGTCTGCCTCTGGTTCTGCTTAACCTTCTCTCCCCCCTGGCGCAACACGCTATGACACACCTCCCTCCCCGACTCCCTACAATACCTCCGCAGACTAAATGCCCGCGTGGGGAGATCATGCATCCGCAGATGAAAGAGCTGCATAGGCGTCTTCTGCTCCCCCTCGGGCGTCGTAGAGATAACCAGGTTCATACCCAGGTCGAGGGCGGAGGAGTCGTGCGTGATAGTCAGACGGCTGTGGGAGGGGAAGTAGGACGCGAAATCATGTGGTGTTGTAGGGATAGCTGTCGTTGACGGGGCCGGGGGGAGGCTGGTGGTGTGTGACGGAGTCGGATAGTCGTCGTCGATGCCGTACTCTTCGGGCTCGGCGTAGAAATCCGCCACGGAAGAGCGGGCAGAGTAGCAAGAGCTCCGCGGGGAGCGGGAGTGCGTGATGCGCGTGCTGGTGTGGCGGAGGCGTTGGCGCGTTAGGGGGGGGAGGGGGGTCTCGTCGCACACAGAGGTCGCGGCGGTGCTGGCGGAGGAGTGGGATTCATCGCTGCGTCGGGATGTGCGGCTGATGGCGCTGGAGACGGTGTCTTGTCTGTTTTTGTGGTTGTACATGGCTCAGGTGCATTGAGGGTGGGGGTGTTATGAGGTTGAGTTGGTTTTGAGGTCGTTGATGGATTTATGGCGGGTGAAGCGGCGAGGGTCGTTGAGGGCTTATTGTGATGCGCGGGTGCGTGTGTGGTGGGTGTTATAATATTCCGAAATTAGATGTTTGGTATCGATGCGCGTGAGAATGATGATCTAGTTGCAGCCTGTCCGGCCTGTTTTGAACGCCATTGAAGGTATTGAGTGATGTTTGAGGTTGATATAGAGGCAGGCGACGTGCTTGGGCTGGGTGATTGCAGTCGTCGTGTGTGTTGTGGCTAGATGCAGCAGTGGGTGTGTGTGTGTTGGACGATTATATATGGGATATATAATTCCTTTTAGTTCTTCTTTTTGCTTCTGATAATTCTTGGTTCTGGTCAAGACTGAAGAGGGGGGCGGGGGATGCGGCGAGCGGCGACAATATGTATGGTGATGGGCGATTTTTGGTTTTTGTGAGCCAGTCGGCCTTCCCCCGGCCCCCCACGACAGCCTCATAAAGTGATTTCCACCACCCCCATTATCATAATACCCCATTATCATAATACCCCCATTGTCATAATACCCCCATTGTCATAATACCCCCATTATCATAATACCCCCTTCAGTCAGAAGGTTGGAAAGAAATGGTAACAGACACAGACTATAGGGCTCAGACACCGACGTTTCCGCCGACGCTGCCGGCGGCCTGAATGTACTCGTATGTGCTGCGCCTCGATCACGACGATGCTATTCAGCTGGGACGCACTCACACCTCGACTCCCAGCGCTTCGACGTGTATCCCGTCGTCCGCCTTGTCCATCCCATACCTGCGCACGGGTTACGTGTATATATCCTATAGCCGCGTCGTGGGAAGGGCGGCCAAAGGGAGCCAAGGATCCCAAGAAGTGGTGGGTGTCTGTCTGAATGTCCAACCGCCCGGCTGTTCCTTCATCCCCCAGCATCAGCTCCAGCACCTAAACTGGTCCAACTAAGTCCTCGTGCTCCCAACACCGCCATCGACACATCGTTCGTTTGTCCTTCCATGGGGGTTGTATGTACTCAACGAAGCTGTACCCCCCTTGCCACCCCCTCAGACGATCACACCTGTGTGATCTGAGCGAGTCTGCGGGATGCCTTACTTGGGCAGGACGGGGAGGGACGTGGGGATCCGATTCGTGTGTGATGGCCAGCGCATCCGGCGGCTGTGTGGTGGTGGGTTTGGTGGTATGCAGAGAGCCCGGGGAGGTCATCTTTCTCCATCTCAGAATGTCAAACTCGTGTCGTCCCTTCCATTCTACTACCATCCTCAACTCGTTTCATAAGTTTCCATATACCATACGTGGTGCGGCCTACTAACCCTAGGTGTTAGGAGTGTTACCTTGAGCTACAGAGTAGCAAATCGTGGCATAAAGCATCTCAACAGGGGCATATTTGGTTTAGAGCCGAGCTATGGGTGTGTGATATGACATATGACATGTTACACCGAAGTCGAAGAGTGAAAGGAAGGAGCGAACGAGCGAACGAGCGAACGAGCGTCTGCTCTTTCCTTCTTTTGTTTGGATTCTCGCTGGACCCCAAGTGTCGTCAAACATGGGGTGAACAAGTGATAAGGAGAGAATATCTCAAAATCCCATTCCTGAGGTCCATAGATAGTACTTGGTCACAATGGCTGCCCGTGTTGGGGAATATGTGGTATAGACGATGGTATCTAGACTTGCCATCTTCTCAATCTCCAATATTTTACTTTGAGAAGACCATCTACAACAAATGCTGCTAGTCCATCGTCCCAGAAAATTTACGTATTCAGGGACCAGACCAACAAGCCTAATCAGACAACCTCAATGCATGATTAGGGCTGAGACGATAAAATCCATTATATCTACCCTCCTCCCCCCCATCCCTTCCCCTCCTCCCCTCCCTCCCTCTCCCTCCCTCTCCCTCCTTTCCCAACCCTCAAAAGAGTAGCACGATCCCAACACCAACCAATATGGCATACAACCCGCATAACGACACGGACTACGACCTACCCGATCTATTACCCTACGACCCTCTCAACAACAGTCCCTATAGCGAATCTAACAACATGGCATACGACCAGTCTAGGTTCACGAGAGACTACCACCCCTCACCCTCACCTCCTCGGCACAGAGACACACCATCCACGGCTACTTTTGCGCGACCCTCTCCTCCTCCCCCTACAAGGGGTCCACTCAGGGGCCCACTCAGCAGTCCACCCACAACCTCGCAGGACTCTCCACGCCCAGCCCAGGCCACTACCCATCCTCCTCCTCCTCCGCCTCCGATCCAGCTCCATGTTCATGGGTAGCTGAAAACTAATAATTCCCTGGGGATAGTCCAAAAACGGGGAACTTGGCAGTTCTGGTGAAGTGGCCCGGTATGACGTTGGAGCTTGCGCCTTGTCTCCCTGGGCAGACGTGTGTTTGTGGATACTGCCCGTAACTGGGGAATAGATGGCTTTCTTGTTGGACCACCTGGTGGGGGATATGCGGCGGTTATATGTTTGGAGCTGGATCCCGGGGGGTGGTAATGCTGCGATGGAGATGCTGGGGTTTAGGCGTTTGTTGAGTGTCGTCAACTGTGCTGGTGCTAAAAAAAAGGGGGCAATGGGCTTGTTGCTTGGTAGTTCTGTTTTGCGAATCGGTGCGATGACACCTCTCGAATCGAAAGGACATATAATGAACCAGGCCTCAAAACCCGGTATACAACGCCTTGCATAAACCCTTAATATTCTTGATATCAATTTTATCTACAAGTTATGGCATCATATTGTCTTGTAACCAAACCATTACTCAACGACACCCCCACAAACGGTACATTCTCAGTTCCGTTTCCCCAGCCTCGGCAGCCGGATGGGAAGCACGAGAAGGAGGGTGATCAATCCCACTCCAGCAGCCGCGACAAACGTAGCGCGCAGACTAGCAGAATACGCAGCCACGACCTGATCCCTATAATGCGGGTCCAGGTCGACGATTGCTTCTATACTTCCTCTCACCTTGCGGATAACCTGTTTAAGAAATGTCAGTAATAGAGACAAATATCTTCCCGGAGGAAGAAGGGGCGTAAAGTGGCAACTTACCTCTTCTTTATCCGGCCCACTAACAAACGCATCCAAGTACTTAACCAGCGCATTCTGCAACACCAAACTACTCGACGCAACACCAATCACCGTCCCTATACTCCTCCACAGCATAAGCGTGCTCGTCACCACCGCCTGTTCGGACTGTTCACTAACGGCTAAGATAGCCATGAACGTGCCCGGGAACTGGAATCCCTGTCCCATACTCCCCAGAGCCAGGAACATCAATACAATAAATATGGGCATATCCTTAGTGATCGTTGTCAACGTGACCGGCCCAAGAAACACGAGTGCCGCCCCAAGGACGAGAGGCCATTTCAGGCGTCGCGACCAGGTAATCAGAAACCCCGTGCTGACGCCGCAGACTGTGCCAGCCAACGCAGAAACGAGAAGACGGAGACCGGAAGAGGTGGCGGTCTCGAGACGAACGGCCTGGAAGAAGATGGGCATGTTGAAGATGATAGCGTTGATGGTGACGGCGCTGATGAAGTTGGAGAAGATTAGGTTGCTGCGGGGGGAGCGGGTGAAGAGGTAGAGAGGCATGACGGGGCGGGGGGCACAGGATTCTATGTAGATGAAGAGGGGAGTGCTGATGATGGAGATGGAGAGGGCGGTGAGGACTAGGGGGTGGGTCCAGGGGTAGATGTTGCCTCCGAGACTCTGGTGGGGATTAGAAAAGTTTGGAAGGATAAGGAGGGGGGCTTACTAAAGATAGAATTAGAAAGGTGGTGCCTGCTGTAAGCACGAGGGATCCTTTATAATCGAACGTCTTCATTGCAGTTAGGAAACTTTCGTTCTCTATGTTGTGGCTCAGGCCTAGATTGCGTGGCACAAAAACACAGGAAGTAACGAGGATGAGCAGTAGCGCAGGAACTGGAACATGTCAGTAGAGTCCCAACTGCTCTGATAGATCATAGATGGGGCGTACTTTGTATTCCAAATTCCCACCTCCAACCAAGGTGGTCTGCCATGGCGCCGCCAGTGGCCACCCCCATAGCTGACCCAAGCCCGTATACAATATTGATATACGACTGGTAGATACCACGGATCTCAATTGGCACTAGATCCGACGTAATAATGCTTCCCATAGTCATTGAGGCACCGGCTCCAAGACCACAGAGCGCCCTAGCCAGAATAAAGCTCGTCATGCTCTGTGCCAGCGCACACCACAGAGTTCCGGCTGTGAACAGGATCATCCCAAAGATCAATGGCGGTTTCCTCCCCATGGTATCCGATAACCGCCCAGCTAGAGGTTGGAAAGCCGTTGAGGTCAATAGGAAGGCCGTTGACAGCCAGGAGGCACTATTCGCAGAATGGAAATGCGAAGTTATAACCGGATGGCTGGACGCCATTATCGTACTGTCGAAGCAAACGATAAACATATTGCCCATCAAGCCCAGAAATATAAGCCAGAACTGACGGACGCCAATCCCCCCGTGAAAGGGGCTCTTCTGTTCCTGGCCACCTCCATCTCCTTCGGCACCTGTGGCGGCAGAGCCCCGACGACTACTCCGTATCCCATGCACTTGTCTCCGTCTCGAGGTATCCCGCAGCATAGGCGACTCCAGAGGCCGGGGCTCGATTCCGGTCTGGCTCAAATACGAGATCGTGCGTCCCAGCCTGTTTTCATACTCGCTCTGTGTCTCGTCATCGGGACCTAGCTCGACATCGGCTGCCAGATCATGGTCCCGGAACGTCTCATCCGGAGACCGGGTCCTGTGGTAATACGGCACATCGGTGGCTGCTCGTAGCAGGGGCGTGTCTTCCGAGAACTCTCTTCGGTGGTGCTCGTCGGTGCTTATTGGTGATATCGACGCCTGCCCAGGGTTCTCATCGTCACTGTCTGGCATCGTGACGAACTCTGCTTCTTGTCTCAGCGAGGTTTTTTTTGGGGGGGGGGGGAGGGAGAGGGGAAGAGAGGTAAAGTCACCCTTGTCCTACACTCCATAGGAAGAGGCGTATTATAAAGAAAGGGCCTCAAGTGTGCTCAAGTTAGCCACAGGTGCGTTGGGGACAACCCCCGCATTTCTAGAAATTGCATGCGCTAGGATCAAGTTATCGCGGGTCTGGCACACTCCCGCCGCTTACCTGCAATCTACATTGGTAGTCATTAATTCTCTGGTCGTCTGCATACGTATATAGGAATTTATAAGAAATAGATATGAAATATATATGAAATATATATGAAAAATGGCCGACCAGCCTTTGCCTTACTTTGGTAGTAAATGTTGTGAATGTTAGCAGGGTCTGCAGCTATTTTCTGGAAGGCGCCTTTTGCCGTATAATTGGTAACTTATGACTCGCCAACTCTACCCCGCCCTGGAACCGGGCTAACAAGTCTCCGTCCTTCTCCATTGACTGACCGACCCCCAATGGCGGCGATAAGACCCTTATCGATCAATCCCATCAACCGCAATTCATCGGCCTTCTCTCTCCGAACTATTACCTGATCAATAAGCTGAGTGTAATCCCCCCCCATTCTTGTCCTACCAACTTCCAAAGTCCTTTATTCTTTATAGAGTACCGCATCTAACCAACCCAGACAATGACACCACGACTTCTCCGCATCGCAATCCTCGAGTGTGATACCCCGCCCCCCGGCGTCCAAAAAACTCACGGCACCTATGGCGGCCTCTTCACATCTCTCCTCCACGACGCAGCATCCTCTCTCAGTCCTCCCCTCCCCGGATCCGACCTCATCATCTCGGCCTACGATGTCGTGAAGGAGATATACCCCCCCTCACTCGACGACTTCGACGGCATCCTGATGACCGGCTCGAAGCACAACTCCTTCGAGAGCGACCCCTGGATCCTCAAGCTCGTTGAGTACACGAAGAAGGTCCTGGCTCAGGATAAGGTGCGGATGGTTGGCGTCTGTTTTGGGCATCAGATCGTGGGGCGTGCGCTTGGCGCGCCGGTGGGCCGTAGTGAGAAGGGTTGGGAGCTTAGTGTTACGGATTTAACACTCACGCCGGCGGGGAAGGAGATATTTGGACAGGAGAAACTGGTATGTGATTTCTCGAAGCCACTGTTTGAGTTAAGAAAGGGCCTTGACTGATGTTTCAACAGGCAATTCACCAGCTACATCGCGATGTAGTCGCCGCCTACCCCGAGGGGGTCGAACCGCTTGCACATACCGACCGGTGCGTCAACCATGCGATGTATATACCACGCCGTGTAATTACTATTCAAGGGCACCCAGAGTACACAGGCGGGATCCTTGGGGAGATACTGGTAGCCCGCAACGCGAGCGGCATAATTGACGACGTGTCGTTCAAAGATGCGATGGCGAGATTGGAAAATAAGCAAGACGGTGTATTGGTGGCGAGGGCGTTCTTGAGATTTTTGCTAGAATGAATGACGAGGGGTTTGAGGAGAGAGTATAAGTTAAATGTTGGCGAAGCATACATAGCGTTGCAGTTGATATCTACTGTAGATAATAGAAATTAGAGCGTCACTCAGCTTCGAATTAAGTCTTGAAACCAGATAAAGACTGAGACTCAGTCGATTAATGCGCGAGGGTTTTCCAAGGCAATTAAGGGGATTTCCCACGGCCAAGATTTCCTGTCACCAACGGTTCCTGTCACTACCTCTACGACGGAATGTCTGCAAAAACGTCTGCGGTGCCAATCCTTGTCGCATGTATTAACAATACGACCATGGCATCCAGCGAACAGATCTGTATTGAGACTTGTCGTCTTTCTCGACCTTGTCATTATCTTGGAAGATTCGCAAAGAATGGCTATATGGCTTATTGCTACCCTTTTACTAGATTCGCTTGAATGATGGCCAAGTATAAGTTAGATTTTCAAAATACCACACACAAATTCCCAGCTGATCAAAGCCACTAAATGCCGTAAATGTCATTGAACACTATCCCTATCCTATATCCCAACCTTTCACCCTCTCAAGCTCACCTCTTCTTCTCAACAGGTGTCTTCTTCCCCTCAACAGCCGCCGCGGGCCCACCACCACAAGCCGGTGGGGCCGAGTCTCCAAAGTCAATAAGATCCGGTGAGTCCTGTCCACCCGCCATCTTATAATCCTTCCCCTCCACATATCTCCCCTGGGCCGCTTCCGCCTCCTTCCAATTCTTCAGCGGAACCTTTTGCACCTTATCATCCGTAAGATCCCCCACATCCCCTCCAACCACTAGATCCCCACCTCCCCTAACCTTCCCAACAACCATCCCCTTCGCCACGCTCTTGATGATCGCGCGCCTCGACACGCCCGTGGCGTCAATATACACCAGCCCCACATTCTTCATCCCACTCCCCAGGTGCTTACTCAACTCCCCAGCCTCAGGGCCATACCTATGCCCCACGACCGTCGAAGCCGCCGTGCTCGTCCCAGTCAGCAGCCCGCGACCAGCTTGATCAATGCCATCAGCAATAGTACTGAAGGCCATGAGACTCTTATTTAGGAATCCCGGCTTATACCCCGTATCCACCTTCCCATCCGCCCCAACACCCTTATGCGCCCTCTGACCCTTATTCATCATCCCCGCGCCGATGTTCTGCGCGAACTTGCTAACCTGTCCAACGGTCTTGGAGGAGAGCCCAGCCGCAGAGTCGGTGAAGGTGTTGATCTTGCGGACGCGGGCGTGGGTGGTGGGGGTGAAGGTCATGGGGGTGGTGTTGGGTTTCGTGCTTTTGATGAAGCTGTCGGCGCCGGATTGGAGGGTCTGAGTGACGTAGGAGGAGGTTGTGACGATGAGGCGCGACGCTTCGGCGGCGCGGGAGACGAGGCGCGAGCCTTTGTAGGCGGGGTGCATGGCCATCTCGAGGTATTCTTGGGAGGCGGGGGAGACGTTGATGTTGCTGGAGCCGTCTTCGGGGAGGGAGAGGATGACGGGGTCTAGATAGCTTTGTTAGCAGGTTGACTCAAGTTATTCAGGGTGGTGGAATACTTACTCTTAGAGCCCGCTTGCATCTTGCTGTCCTCGACAACAGTAAATCCCTCGCCTAGCTCACCCACGACACTTCCGTTCTCCTCGTCAATCAAGACAATTTGTCCGCCATGGTGAGAGCTGGAACTGCCCTGAACGTATCCCTCTCCTGGTTTGAACTCTTGGGGGTTGTACGCTGGCAGAGCTTCGCCCTTGCCCTTGCTAGCGCCAGCGAGGCCCTTTGCTGGAGCAGGGGCTCGCTCGAGGAAGGCAGTGCATTGCGCGAGTATAGTCTCGAAGGTATCGATATCTTCCTGTAGGCCCTTGGCGCTGCCAGGTGCCGGGAACTCGATGCGGGTGAAGGCACCGCTATCAGGGCCTAGGTCCCAGCGTGGAATGAGATAGCTCTTCGGCGGCTGGTGGTATATTTGGGTGGTGGCTGGGAGAGGGAGATCGAGCTCGGGTGGGAGGTGAAGGTGAAGGTAGAAGTCTTCCTGAGGAGCAGTGGCTGGGCCGGTATTCTCGATTCCGGAGAAATCAGAGGCGGTTGGCACCATCAACAGAGAAAGGGTCTGAGGACCAGAAGGAGTGAGGGATTCCTCAACTCCATTCTGGATATGGTATGCTTTTATGCCATTGACGGCATACAGCAGCTTGGGTTCGGAGTTCGACATTGCGGTTTGTTTTGAAGCGAATACTCGATAGCGGGGTAGTGGGGGTATATGATAGAAAGTCGTGTTGAGTACACCCAAGCTTCAAATATGCCCTGGTACGATTGAAGCAGCAACGCAGCAACTAAGGGACCGATGATGAGTGATTTATAAACTTCCGGTCCGCAGGCCAACCTTTCCAAGCGCCAGGACACTGGTGGCCACCGTCTCACACCACTTGACATGGAAAACCAATGACGTCGAGCCAGGCGCTTCTCGATTGTGGCGCAGCAGGCGATCGGAGCTTGCTGGTTGGTTCTAGCTGCACCATATCAAGTATCATCTGGGCGTTTGACGCCGCTTTGAGAATTGCGTATCCTCCTGTCTTATCTGTTGTATGTGTTGGTGCGCGGCTAAGAACCCTTTACCCTAAGCCCTGACATTTGCCGCTCTGGTGAGATCTCAAAATGCCAGAGATGAAACACCGAGAAACCATTATTGGCTGACATGAACGCTCATAGCATCGATATATATTGACTGATAGACTGGTTTTTTTTTTTTGGTTTTTGCATACTGCGTCTCAGCGACGCAGTATCTCAGTAATTCCCAACTTGCCGCCCTCATTTATTTATATCCACACGTGATGTCGAGGGTGGGGTTCCTCCGCGAGGCGGTGAACAATATAAAACAACCCCTCGTCTCCTTATCGGGTAGCTCAGTGTCAACGACCCCGCGTTGAGCCAGACCTTACCACGTCAACAAATCCATATTTCTGTTTCTTTCCAACTACAACACAAAATTCACCATGGTTTCCCAAGACGACCACGACGCCCTTCCTGAGGAGACGGCTGGCTTCAAGGTCGGTGAAAAGAAGACGCTCCATGAGATCCAGAACATGGGTAAGTGGTTCCACCTATGTTTCCTGTAGATTTCTCGATACCTAGGGTCTTGCCCAGAGCCCCGAATTGAACACAATTCTCTCTGTAGATTCCAAGAGCGACCAGCTCTTTATATGTACAAAATTGAGCTGTTCCACGGTTGTACAAGTTGTCATCCGTCCTACTACTAAGCTGTCGTGGTCTCAGTTTCCATACTTTCGGCCCAGCACTAGCATTCTTCCCTCAATTCTTCCGTATCATGTCAAATACATAGATATATATATTAACAGCCTCTCAGATGCTGAGGATGAGTCCCTCCAACGCTACAAGGCCTCCCTTGGTCTCTCTACAGGCGCAACCACCTCCGACCCGTCCGACCCCCGCCAATGCATCATTCTCTCGTTGACAATGGACTCCGAGGGTCGCCCACCTGTCACAATTGATCTTTCCCAGAAGGGTGCTGAGTCCACTCTGAAGGACAAGCCGTTCAAGATCAAGGAGGGCTCCAAGTTCACCATGATTGCCAAGTTCAAGGTACAGCACGAGGTCCTGTCGGGTCTGCAGTACTTGCAGATTGTGAAGAGGAAGGGCATCAGGGTCAGCAAGGATCAGGAGATGATTGTATGTAGAATTATGCACGGTTGATGCCGCGACGATTCTAATCAAGATATAGGGAAGCTACGCACCTAATACCCAGGACAAGCAGTTCTACGAGAAGAGATGTGAGTACCCCCTACCATCGAGGACTGATTCGTACGCCCATTATAACGCACGAGCTGACAATTGCGGATAGTTGCTGAGGAAGACGCACCATCCGGCATGCTTGCCAGAGGTCACTACGCCGCCATTTCCTCGTTTGTCGACGACGACAAGAACAAGCATCTGGAATTCGAGTGGAGCTTCGACATTGCTAAGGACTGGTGAACATAGCAACCTATCGTTCAATGACATGACAAAAAATTGGAAAGACAGCTTGAAAGACGGCGCATAGATTCCATCCAGAGATGCGGCGGTTTCAAAAGATATAGGCGAGTGGATTGGCTTTTGAGCGCTGAAGAGCTGGCATTTACTATGGCGAAGCCGATTGGCTGATGCCTATTACGTAATACTGAATAAACCTACAAGAGGATGGAAATGGCTTTGATATGATTTATGTGCATGTACTTGTAATTGTACCCCACGACGACCTTTTGCGCGTTGCCTCCTATCACCTCTAATATGTTCCAAGCTGGGGTATCCTTCTCTTCCACCTGGCTTTCCTTCGATCCTTAATCGAGCGTATATCAACGCTCCCCCACCACTCCCACACTGTTCTCTGGCCCATATATCCCCCTATAAGAAGTATTCCGGCAGTGCCCCCGGATCAATCGCCTTCGTCTCCGTATTCTGCTGCAAATCGTTCTCCGGCGCCGCCGCAAAGACATTGAAGTACCTCCCCCCCGTATCGGTAACCTCCAGCACACTCGCCATATTCCCACAACGATAACAGTAATTCGGCGCGCTCCAGACCGTGCTCAGCCGGTCGTCATACAGCACCTGGTACCCCTCCTGGCACAGCTGGTGCGCGCGCAGGATATGCGACATCCCGTTCACCTCGAGGAACTTCTTGACGACCTGCGCGCCGAAGGTGTATCCCGCGCCGCGCGGAGACAGGCTGAATTCATCCCGTTCCGGGTCGGGGTCGCTCCAGACGAGGTCGGCCATGGGCCCTTCGTGTGGGATCTCACGGAAGCGGTCGATAATCTTGATTTGGTCGATGCTGTGGATGCTGGGGGAGAGGCCGCCGTGGACGCAGAAGATGTCGTTGTTTATTACGACAGAGAGGGTCAGGAAGTCGAACATGTCAGTGAAGTAGTGCCAGACGTTCGCGTTGCCGTATTTGCGTGAGCATTCGGTGTAGAAGCCGTAGGATTGCGTGACGCCGCGGGACTCGTGGTTGCCGCGGATGAGGTGGACGCGGGTTGGGTAGCGGAGCTTGAGGCAGACGAGGAGGGAGATGGTTTCGACGCTGAACATACCGCGGTCTACATAGTCGCCTGGGGAATATTAGTATGGCTTTGATGGAAAGACGCGGAGCAGGGGAGCATACCAAGAAATAAGTAGTTTGTATCGGGGCAATATCCTCCGATTTTGAAGATCTCTATCAGATCATAAAATTGGCCGTGTATATCGCCAACTACAGTAACTGGCGCCTGCACATGCACCACGTTACTCTCCTGCATAAGCAGCTCCTTCGTTTTGGCGCATATTGCTTCGATAACTGACTCCGCGAGGAGCTCCTTTTTGTATAGTCGTGATATGCATTCGTCTAAATCAACAGAAGCTAGGAGCAAAAACACATCAGCCAGAGTAAAACTGAACCCGTTTCCAAAAGACCCTTACATGGAAGGCCGGGCATCTTCGCATCCCCCTCTGCCTAGGCCCTGCGGCTGGTGGCGGTTATCTTCAGGAATTTATATGTCGAGGTTTCCGTTGCTGAGAACAACAACATCGTCGCATCAACTCCTAAATCATGTAGCAATGTATAGGCGGCTTGCTAAATAATTCATGACGCAAAGTCAAAGGCCGACAGACTGGTGAGTGAACGAGTGTATGGTGCTCACAAATCAGTGGTGAGGACGTTGGCTGGAGCTCTGGTTGGTCGCGTTGGCCACTGAGATATTGAAACAGGAATAAGGTGAGCTATATGCACCCATCGCGCTGATACACGCACGCTAGTTTTCTCTGTGTGTACCGCCACATTTTGATAACGAGTTGGGGGCCGAAGCTATCATTTAGTTTAGATCCACGCCCTGTTTGAAGCGAGTCTGCGCTAGATAGAAATAGGATTAGCACGTATCGACTGTAAGAAAGTGACCGTCTCTCAACTTCTCCACAGTACAAGTTGCTGTTATTGACAACTTCAACTCCCTTTCTTTGCTCCATTACTCTTCACTTCAATCCATTCATTTTCATCACAGATCCCTATGAGTTGACAACATCAAGCGTGCGGGGTGGAAGAGATGCTTTTTTTGCTCGTCCTGGCTTGCTAGAACGACGACGGCTTATCACAAGTTTTTAACCCTTTTCTACTTCTGGAGAGCCCCGAGGATTTGATTTTCTCTTCTCAAAAACGTCCCACGGCACATCTTGCCTGCATTACTTTGCTTTTCCACTTGTATCAATTGAAGTGTATTTTGTTTTCTGGTCCTTTGTTTTGGTGGAATCAGCGTCGTCACATGACAACGCTCATACGTCGCCAAACCCCGAAGTTTTTGACATCCTCTGTCTTCGACATTGAGGTATTAAAGCCATTCTTCTTTTATATCTCTTCGAGTCGGGCCGCTCTTGAAAGCGCTGCTTCGTATCCGACGCTTATCAAAAATGGCGGCTGAAGCCCCTCCATCTATGGACACAGGTAGCCAACAGGCACCAGCGAAAGCAAATGCCCCTACGTGTTACAATTGTGGGGATTCCGGGCACTACTTTGATGCATGCCCAGAACCGGCTCGAAAGATTCCAGCGTAAGCATTTTCTCTTGTCTCTCGCTTTCCGGTTCTTGCTTCCCAAGATACTGATGTCAATCAGCGGACTAGCTGCTGCTCAGGCTGCCAAGGCCAACGCAGGGCCACAAAGTCACCATGGGGGCTATGGAGGTCAAGATCATAGATCTAAGCGCCAGAAAACCGGATCTGGCCCAGTGGTCACTAGATATCCAGTTCCAGGTCCAGTTGTGACCAGATATTGTCCCCCTCCAATTCAGCACCCACCATATGGCGAGCCTCAAGGTTACAACGGAATGCCTCCCCAGCAATTCCCCCAAGGCCAGTATGGTTCGCACCCACAGCAGCAATTTGCACCGCAGAATGGTTACCCCCCATACGGCTATCAGGGGTCTCCCATGCCTCAAGGATACAACCAATATGGTCATCATCCACCTGCGCCTTACGGCCAAGGCTATGGGTCAATGCCTGCACAAGGTCAAGGTTATGGCTATGGGCCACCTGCCAGCAGCCCTTACTATGGGCAACCATACGGGCCACAAGCCCCATATGGGCCACCTGTTCCTCAGCAGTACCCTCACCAAGCGCCGGTGCCATACCCTCCACAGCAGTCCCACATTCCATACCAGCAACAGAATATGCAGCAACCGGCAGACTACGGTCCACCGCAACAGGCTGGGCCTTACCAACCTGGACCATATCCTCAGGGTGGCCCCCAAGCACCGCCGAACCCTTATAACATGCCACAACAACATCCGCAAGCACATACTCAAGGGCAGCCACCTGTGCCCTACCAGTCCTTCCAGGGACAGGGTACACAGGGGTACAATGAAAACAATGGGCCTTACCCTAATCAACAATCCCAACAAGGGGTTCAAACTCCAGTTCCAATGCATGGCTCCCCGGCGGCGGGTGACCCTTCAAACCATAGTGATCAAGGCAATGCACAAGCTGGAAAATCTTCTGGGCAACCTGAGTCTTCCCACGATGATGAGTCTGCCGTTAAAAACCAGCCTACGCATACAACCGATGATGCAGACAATACGCAAGGCGGCCTCGGCCATGATACCACGATTGATGAATTCGACATCGATTGGGAAGAATCCGTCTTCAACGATTTGCTGAGAGTGGTTGCTATTGCGATTTTGACTCCTCTGAGCACACAATTTGATGAGGAGCCTTTGACCTCTGATGCTAGCGATGCTCCAATAAAGAGCAAATATGTGCGCCCCGGAAACCTGGAGGTATTCATATTGCCTATACAGAAGTCGCTGCATTGGGCGATACTGCACACAGATCCAGCTTTGGCGAAGATTGACGAAGCTTACCCTGCTGTGCCCTTTGAGATGTGGGAAGAATATCGCGAGGAGCGAAAAAAACGGAAGATGCTCGAAGCCCGCCTGCATGACAATACACGGGATGACCAATCGCGCGAGTCGATCCAAGAAGACGCAGATGATCAAGCCATGAGAGAAAGCTCCACTGAATCTATGGGTCGCCAAGAAAGCAACCGCTCTGGAGTTAGACAGTTCTCTGCTGGTTCTCAGCGAGATTCAAGGTCTAGATCCAGGACCCTGGGATATAGCCGTCGAGGCACTCCGACTCTTGAAGATGGGGACGAATTGTGGGCTTCACGGCCTGATGAAGCAGCGGTTAAGATGGACACATACGTTGATCCAGCCGAGGCGGTGCTTGCGTCACTAGGTGTGATGGGCGCGCCAAAGCCAGTTTCTGTGAACACCGCAGTATATAACGATGGACAGAAGTAATAACCACCGTCTCTCCAGGGATATTCTTGTACTGACTTTCAATAGGGAACCTTCCAGTCCACGGGGCAAGCAGATGAGACAGGATTCCGGCTATGCTAGTGCCCGGCCGTCCATTGGCCGCCAAAGTTCATGGAACAATGGGCCAGCCTTTCGACGACCATCCAAACGAACACGCCATCGTTCAGGATACGACGGTTGCATCGATAGCCCAATATCTGAAGTTTCGATGCGAAGCCATAATTCCGAGCGCGATGTCGGCAAGCGGGGATCTAAGAGCATGAGCCCTGTGGAAAGCCCGTTGTCGCCAACATCCGCGGCGTTGGTTGGTGAAGCTCCTGCTTCTCATGAAGACCGTTATCGAAGCAGTGAGCCCTTACGGCAAAACGATGATCAGTATGTGAAGAAACGGCCGCAGCCAAAGGTTGCTGAAGCATACAGGTGAGTAACTTACCATTCTTCGTGTCAAACAGCATACTTATTCCTCACGTAGCCGCCGATGGTAGATTCTTGCCATCTTCTCATCCGGCCAACGATCACCACACGCGACTACACTTCCGTGATTTATTCACTTCTCTAATTATAGGTTATTATTTATCGACACGGACGACACAGCATTGGGTTGGAACAATGGAGTATATATGTAGAGCTTTTGGTGGTTTTCCTTTTCCTCAGAGCCCTTCGAACTTTTACGTCTTGTCAGGCCCACTCAGATATTCTCTTCCTTTTCCTCGATCTCTCTCCCAGACAAGTGCGAGGGTTAGAACAAACATAACGTTTTAATGTGCAACTACTTCTTGGTCATCGAAATATTTCTTCGTTCAAATGATATTTTACTCGTGGGGTGGCGTTCGTGGGTTGCATCGGTCCGGTAAAGGGGTGGTGGATTGGGTCATGAGAGGTGCTGGGGCAAAATCAACTATGCTGTCATGAAGATCCGATGGTCCGCATTTTCATCAGTGTAAGAACAGGGGTTTCGTTCTCTGTCTGTCAAAAACAAGATAAAACAAATAAAATTAGCCCGTTTCCAGCTTTATTCTTATGTCCTCATTGTCTATTGTCACATTCTCATCGGTTCTTACCAATCATAGCCAACAGCCAACGGTAACCACCAAATTAGTATCTCCAAGCCAAGGGGAATCAGACTTCTGTGCATCGATACTCTCCTACTCGCTTGAGGCACGGTCAATAACTGCTTTACGGCGAAGATCTTAAAATTCACTTTCGTGACTGATGATCATCATGGCCACAACGGCCCCTCCTATTGCAGAGTAATATCTCCGTATTATATCCAGTTTCTTCAATCTCTCGCCTGTACAGTGGCTCTCGTTTCATTCCGTGACGAAAGCTTCAATTTCCATTTCATATTATATAGACTAGCAAGTAGCAAGCACCTATTCAAGCACGCCAACGAGCATAGACACTGTAGGAACTATAGAAAGAGAGAGATCGGAGGTACGTGGGAAGGCCAAGCAAAGATGCATATGCCACGTAGCCACACAAACTTAATGCGTGCTTCGGTTTAGGCTTCTCGCCAGCTTTTCCTACTGCCATGCCCCTTTCCTGTCACCGGCCAGTCGTTCTCGCCGCCACCGCTGCCCTCCTGTCACTGGCCGTTCTCGCCGCGACTCCGTTTTGTCACCGCTATGGGGTTGATATCGAGCAATTGTATCCAACCATAAATTATCGCCTGCATCGCCCGCGGACCACCTCTAAGGCCCCACCAACTTCTTCGCCCTCCCCTGCCACTCTTTCAGGTAAGTGATGGCATCCTTGACCATGCATGATGACTAGGACGGGTTCCATAAAGGCCATGTATCGTAACTTGAGTACATACGATGAATTACAGACTACTCCACTGTGTTGACTCTATTTTGTCCCCTGTTCTATAATATTTGAAGACTTCGTTGGGTCTCATCTATTTCCAATATCAACGCTTGATAAGCTGGTCACCCTCTGCACCATCATCACTTTCCTCATTTTCTTCGCCCTCCTCGTCATCAGTCTCCTCCTCACTCTCTTCCTCGTCTTCTTCTTCCTCCGAACCCTCTTCCCCAGACCCCTCCTCCTCCTCCTCCTCCTCCTCCTCACTCTCTTCTTCCGCCAGCCAATCATCAAGCGTCTTGGCTTTCTCCTTCCCCTTCCCTTCCCCCTCACTGACCCCGCTCCCATCACCATTCATACCACTCCTCCCCACAACCGTCTTTCCGCTCCCCGCCGCCCGATCCAGCATCTCCCCAGCCGGAACAGACTTCGCACTGGTCTCACCATACGCCTTCTCCTCCTCCCACTCCCTCAGACTCGGATCCGGCTCCTGGCCCGCTTTCACCCACTCCGGTAATCCTTCGTACCCCTTAATCCCCATCCCGCCTACGCTGTCTCCAATTACCAAGCTTGCTGAGCCTAGCATGAACCCTTTCCTGCTCTCGCTTGGGCTTGGTACCTGCGGTACCAGCTTCGGGGCCAGGAGCATCAAGGTGGCGAGTTGTGTGGAGGAGGGCGTGGAGAGGAGGGAGCGGTAGAGGCGGAGACGGTCGCGCAGGTCGTAGGATGTGTCGTATCGCGCTAGAAGGAATATGTAATTCCATAGTAAGACAATCGGGTGCTCTTCGTCTGGGCTGACAAAGTGTGGTGGCTTGAAATCTTGCTGCTGGGAAGGCGATGCATTGTCTCCGCCACTTTGGCCGTCATGCGGCGACCTACTGTCGGCTGGTGTTGGTTCTGCAGTAGCTTGGAGCCGGTTGAGGTAGTGCAGGTATACCTTCGCAGCAAGCAATACAATCTGCAGCTTTGCGGGCTCAGCTTCGTCAGCGAAATTCTTAGCTAGAATGCGTAAAACATCTGGCGCAATGTTATCTTCTTCACCGATTCCCGAGAATTCTCCTACAAGCCAGATGATTGTCGCGCGCGCCTTTGGGCTCGTGGTGGTGTCGAGGCTCTTTGCTAACCGGATGACCGTCTTTATATGGGAGTCCGGGTCTTGTTGGATAAGATGCCGTATAACAGTCAATGATTCCGCAACCAGGTTTCCGTCTGGACTGCTAATTTGCTTGAGCAAGAGTCTCATGCAGCGTCCAGACGTTTGCGTGTCGGATTGCGCACACCGTCCAATGGCACGAACGCTCTCACGGACCAGTGCTCGATCAGACCCAGAGGCGAAGTGTTCGAGTTCGTTGAGAATGAGGCTCTTAATGTGAGTATCGCAATGCGGGAATATCAAGGTAAGCATTTCCAGTTTAAGCTCCCAGACTTGTGCTGGGTCAGTAGTGCGAACCAGGAAATGAGAGGCAAAGCGGACAAAAGACTGCGGTTGTGAGATCGCAACCGAGACGATGTTGTACAGGGCAATATGTTGGATATCTTGGGGACCTCGGAGGAGGGCAACGAGAGGCCCAATCGTCGACTCGATGTAAGAAGGTGTGCCGAGGTTGACGTATGCACGCGCGACAGCTACGACGACTGCTGAATTGCGGCTTTGTAGGAGAGGCTTGATACTCTTTAGGAGTAGTTCAAGGTCAGGATTTATCACAGCAACCTCATCGGAGATTTCTTCTTCTGTTTGATCTTCCTCGTCCTCATAGAACCCCTTGGTTCCATTTTTTCTCTTCACAGTCGTTGTCCTTCGCGGGAAGCATCGCCTTGCATAAATAGTCATCAGCTGCAAGGTCGCCAGTTGACTCCATTCATCCATATCCACGAGCTTCTTCACAAGCCCTCTGTAATGCTTATGAATCAAATCTAGCCTCTCAGGGCAGATCTCCATGAAAGTCTTCACTGCTGCACCAGCCACATAATATTGTTTATCTCCCAGCAAGGTCGATAGGTATCCTAGAAGCTGCGGCAATGTCCCCGGGTCCAGTCTGTAGCATTTCGGGATTGCCAGCGCAGCTGCTCTCCGTACGTGAGGACTCATGTCACCCAACCCTTTCCGAATCGCCAGAGAAACAATCTGGCTGATTACCGGAACGCGAATCCCTGACATCGTTTTGAGGGCCATGGCCCGGACTTGGGGGTTCCCATCAGATAGCGATTTCTGGATTGTGTTTATGGAGAGGAGAGCAAGGTCGGGCTCGGCTTCGGCGTGGCTCAGGAGATATATGTAGACCAGCTTTTTTATTTCGAGGTTTGGGGAAGCGACATTTTTGACGACGGAGGAGAAGAATGGCAAGCATGGTTGAGAGCGGTGCATCAACTATATAGTATCAGCATATGCCATATTGTAGCTTCTTGCTCAGAAGGGTCACATACCGTTATAACCTTCCTCAGTCCATCAAGGACTTCTCTTTCATTCCTACTGTCAAGCAGCTTCCGAATCTGTGCCGTCGAGAGGCTCTTCTGAGTGGAGCGCGAGCTTCGTGCTGCCTGAGCCGCATCCATGGTTAGGTCTCGAGCTATTCCCTCGTCAGCATCATAGCTCGGAGCGTCATGGAACGGGGATATGAAGAAAGACATTGCTACATACCACTTTCCAGCAGGCTGGAGATCCGAGACAGCGACTCCATGCTTGGGATGGGGAGCACAAGGAAACGTGCAACTTGAGCTGTAGTGGGGTTAAGCGACGGTGACGACAATGACGCTGATGCACCAGCGTTTGGGGGTCGGCAATTATTAATTCCTATGAGCATGCGACACCGACGACGAGTTCTGGGATTAATTAATATTTCCCATTGAGGTTCATAGTTACGACCATATATCTAAAGTCTGCTTTCCAAACCAGACGACCAACTAACACCAGCCACTAACAAACTAACGGCGCGTTGACCAGTAGCCAGGAACTGGCGTCTACCGGGCTACAGCGACAGAGACAATCCAGCAATAGCGACGGCCACAATGACCGCCCCAGGCCCTACCCCTTGAGCCACTGTTATCGTCTGGTGATGGGAGAACTATTATCAAATGGCGCCGGCATCACCAATCGCCGTTCCTCCAGTTACTCCACGCGTTCTACTCGATTATATCCTGACCTCCACCTCATACCCCACAACCCTCCTCGTCTGCTCTCCGCGAGCAGCCTTTCTTTCGTCTCTACAGAACTCAGCATCTACCTCTTCGACATTACAATCTTCGACATCAACGCTCCACCTTCTTTCTCTCTCCCCACACATACAAACCATATTCACACCCACTCTCTCGCATCTCCGCGCCTGGCTCTCTGTCGCGGACAGCGGCTGTGCCGCACCGGCCCCAGCTTCAGATCCAGGGAGCAAGGCTACAACAGATACCCCTAATCGGAGCAATGGGAGAAGCCAACTAGTCGTTTGGGGTCTGGTGAACATACACCAGGGGACGAGCGAATGGAGCGTGCAAGGCTTGAGTTCAACCGCGGCAGCATTGGTAGAAGCAGGACAACGGATGGGAAGGAAGGTTGTACTTGTCGAAGAAGCTGAAAATGAACCGAGCAGGGAGGATGAGGGAGATGAAGGCGAGCCTGCGAGGAGTGAAGGCATGGTGGGTCAAGGAGATCTAGAAGAAATAAATGGCATGAATGATAATGGCGAGCTGGAAGACGACCGCCCGGTTGAGCAGGAGATAAAACGGCAGAGTGGTATCTATCACAGGCGGTTACCGATGCTAAATGGTTGCTCCAAGACAGATGCCAATGACTTAGAGGCCGGGGCTTGGAGTGGACGGACAGTGGAAGTCGGCATTGTGCTGAATCGGTGGTTTAGGTTCACAAGGGACGAGATGCTACCGTCAGACCGTATTTGCAAGAGATCTAGCTGTTTAGGCATTCACAACTTGAAGGGCCGGTTGAAAGAATGGGTGTGACGGATTTGCTACACATACGGCGTATACTTTCGCAGCTGGCATATATTCGCCATCAAGCTGCAGTAGCCGCATAGCTTACTTGGTGGACTTAGTCCAACAGTCCTGACAAATACTAGTAGTTGGCCTGGGGTTAAGTTTCGACTTTCATCCTGTGGACTCTGCCGAAATGATGTCTACATTCCTCACTTGAATGCATGAACTCAATGTCACGTCCCAGTCTCCAATAAATGACATAATTCGGATAATGATTTGAATGCACTCTTGATGATATTTTGTACAATCGGCAACTCTCGCTACCACCCATCTATCACTCTTCCCTATCACTATCAAGCCATCATGATACACAAAATCCACCGCTCTTCCGCCTCTATATATCTTGCTGGAACCCCGTTTATCAACTATTAACCAAAACCCGCTCAGCTTAACCAATGACCAGGTTGGTCTCGTCCGCGAAGTCGTACTCTGGAATCTCGAGATTGAGCGGTGCTGGTCCCTTGCGAATACGTCCGGAGATATCGTAGTGAGAACCGTGGCACGGGCAGAACCATCCGCCAAAGTCACCAGCCTCGCCAATAGGTACGCATCCCAAATGTGTGCAGACACCTAAACGCGTGCTGTTAGTATAGGTTCCTACGAAGAGTCGTCCCGAAAACAAGAAATTTCGACATGTTGCGCGGTTGTTTGTACGTACCAATCATGACCAACCACTCTGGCTTCTTAACACGGTCGGCATCCTGTTGGGGATCACGTAGCGACTCGATCTTGATATCCTCGGCCTCCTTGATCTCGTCGGCTGTACGGTGACGGATGAAGACTGGCTTTCCACGCCATTTGATGAGGACCTGGATAATATAGTCAGTCTCTGAGTCTCAATTCCAGTCAAATAGAAGGTACGTACGTTCTTGCCCTCTGGGATAGCAGCAAGGTCAACCTCGACCTTGGCCATGGCCAAGACATCAGCAGATGCGGACATGTTGACAAGGAAATCTGGAGCAACCTCAAGTCAGCAAATCATCCCAATTGGCTCCCATATTCCATATTCCGTCGCCTTTAGCCTTCGCGAGGCTTCTACATCCCCAATTGATCCCTTCCAACCCTCTTCAAGGATTCACGTACCTTGAACGGTAGACTTCGCACCCGCGGCGGTGATCGCGCCCATCGACCCAACCATGAAGTATTGGAACATGAGGTTGCTGCTCGTGGCATTCTTGCTCCTGTATTTGCTGAAATCGGGGATCTTGCTGGTCTGGGCCTTGCTGGCGCTGGCCTTGAAGGGGCTCTCGAAGGCCGGGGTGTTGACGCCGGACTCGCCCGAGGCATTTTTCTGCGTAGTCGTGCTGAGCGCGCGCACGCTGCCTACGGTGCGTGGGGCAGCACGCAACAGCGCCCGCGAGCTGTGGGTGAGAGATGCCATGCTGTAGGTGGGAGGTTGTGCGTGGACAGAGGAGACAATGAGCGACGAATTGGATGGATGGGTGTTGTCGGATTGATTTTGAGGTTTCGGCAAAGTCAAGGTCGTATAAGCCCCTCCTGATTGGCTCGTGCTATTTCTACTGGTCCGCCACGTGACTCTCGGTCATTTATGGACCTCTCGTCATAAACATCTCGACAAACATGATTTGACAAACATGATTTGATCTGGACTCAGGAACAGAAAATCTACGATTGGCCACGAAATGAGCAATTATGTGCCATGTCTTGTATATTTCATGTTTAGGAGCATAAATCTATGTGTGACTTTTCTCAAATGCTGTTTTTGCTGCGTTTCTTCTTTGAGTCTATCACGTGTATTTTTGATACACTTTGAGGCGTGAAATTGTTATGGGCTAAAGCTATAAAGAAAAAAGTTGAAATCATAGCGTATCAATTATCAGTTTGAGCGCGTTAGGGAATCATTTATATTGTATAATACTGTTTATTCAGAAGATTGACTACCAGAAATTGTTACTCATTGCGACCACTTAAATTGGATTTTCACGTGATTTCATGTTGCTGCTCGACTAGGACTAGCGTTATATACAGGTACATAAATTAATTTCAATGTAGCCGGTGCGGGGTCGCCTAAAACATTGGGGAAAGCTCCCCAACAACTCTCATATTCCATCCTGCCGCCGCTGTCCATAATTCTTCCTCGAATGGCCCACCCCGTCTTTGTGCTCTAAGGACGGCCTGGTAACGGCTTGTTACTTTGGCTGCCAGAGAAACTATTCTAGTATACAGGTTACTGGGAATTTAACCTGCAAGCCACTAATTTTATTTCCCTTTGGGTCAGCAGCGAGGCTATTTTGTAGCTCCATCATCACCGCTGTTCTTGGCCCTATTTTTCCGCAGGTTAGAGCCGGAGATGTTTGCTAACAATACAGGTAGGACCGATAAGGTTATAAACCAAGCACAATGGACGCTATGAAGCTTCCTGCCAAGCAGTTTGTGAGCTCTAAAGTCTTATCAAAATGGTGAAACAAATAATTGGTTGCGTTGCTGCCGTTCTTGTCTCTGGTTCTTCTCCACAGCGGCTGCCTCTGCTGTTCCTGATCCTCGTCATACATGCCAGTATCCGACTAAAAATTCTCTCGAGGGATGTCCCAAGAACAGCATCCTCGTTGGTCATGACTCCTCTGTCGCCAAGTTTACGTCCATTCAGAAAGCTATTTCTTCGCTCCCAGACGACGACACCGCCTTCATTATTGTAGTTCTCTCAGGGAACTACACGGAGCAGTTGAATGTTACGCGTAAAGCTCCCATCACGATTATTGGGCAAACCCGTACTCCATTGGAACAATCAGAGAACACCGTGTGTTTACTGGTCATCCATCAATGGCGCTGGCTCTGGTCTCACCGACAATGCTTATACGTCTGTCTTGACAGTCGCGCCAAATATAAATGCCAGTTTCACAGGGTCTGGACCTACTGGGTTCCCCGTCCCTGTGGGCACCCCATTTGGCAACACCGATTCCCGAGTTTACAACATCAACTTCCGCAACATCGCCACTGAAATCGGCGCAGGCCATCTCTGGCGGTCAGGGTGAGCAGAGCCAACGCTGGCTTCTACTCCTGCGGCTTCTACAGCTACCAGGATACCGTCTACGTTGGCAAGCTCGGCAATGCCTATTTTTACGGCAACGAAATTGCCGGCCAGACGGATTTCCTCTACAAATTTGGGACAGCATGGCTCGAGCGCTCGAATCTGACACTGCGCAGATGCGGCGGTGGAATCATTGCGTGGCTAGGGACTAACACGACGTTTGCTAACCAGTACGGCTGTTACGTCTCGAATTCGCTCATCAACGCAGCGAATTCGTCCAGCGATTGCTGGAAAATGCTCTCTCGGTAGACCGTGGAATGCGCAGAATCGCAGCGTTTATTTTAATACGTCCATGGACGCTTCGGTCTTGGAGTCTAGGTACACGAAATGGTCGAATAATCCCTTGACGAACAACTACAATAATTATACCATGATGGGAGAATATGGATCATATGGTCCAGGCTTCAACTTGACTGCACGGCTGGCGGGAAATGTCACCATTGAGCTGGATAAGAAGACGGCAAGGAAGTACCTCCATCCTCGGGATGTTTTTATCACTCATGAGGGCAAGCCTAATGTCAAATGGATTGACCCAGGTTACCTTTTGAGTCCGACGCCAAGAGGGGTTCCCGGGCGGTATTCTGAGTTAGATAAGCAGATCTTAAGTAGAATAGATAAAATCAATGTCAAGTTGTGTTGGATTGAGCTATCTGAGAATAAACCAAATGTGTAATCGTGAAGTATTCTAGCCATTCCAGTTACTATGGACAGTACATTATGCTTTAACGAAGCTACTCTTTCTCATATGCCCTCTGAAAATCTTGGCCCTTTGGGTAGGTGGGCCTACTATGTCCGTGTCTGACCCAGCATATGCACAGCCGGCCAGCGGGTAAGTTCGTTGATATTACAAACAAGGCACGGTATTTTACTGGCTGGACACACTTTACATTACAGAACTAAGCAATACCCCCTAGGACATGTCAAGCTGCAAGAATTCCATAGATAGCTTTACAGTTTTGGCTAAATAGAGAAAATGACAACTCTAATATTCCACCCCTACCCAAATACCTGCAACGGCAGAAATATTATCCCTCACTTTTTTCCCATCTCACTAAGCAGCAGCAGTGCAGTTCAAACCAAGCTCTGCCACGTTAATCTGTCATTTCCGTTAGCATGACAACTTGCTTTATACCAAGTCGTTCATTATGGCGTTTGTGACATATATGTTCTTGACAGTATCCGGGTTGGTTTTCCCTGGGGATCCGACGGAGAGACCATGGCTAGCACCAGAGCATGTGACGCCATCGACAGTCACGTAGTTGCAGCCGCCCTTGAAAGCGATGTAATCATCGTAGTTGGTGATTTTCACGTCTTTTATGGTGGTGTAGGTGCTCTCGCCAACATCAAATCCGTCGGTGTTCTTGGGCAGATTGGTGGACTTCGAGGCGGCATCCATGGTCAGGCTTGCGTAGTTCATGTTGGTTGCGGCACCCTTCTGGTTGATGAAGACGTTTGGGGGGGTTCTTGATTCTGAACCCCGAGGCAACGAGGTTGGAACCACCAATAACACTTAGCAGGGTTGGTCGTTTAAGTGATGAGTTCACTGCCAAAAAAATGTTGTAGGCATTTTGGCCGTTCCCATCGATGACGCCGGTACCAGTGAGTGAGCGAAACTTGGCTCCGTTGATGTTTTCATCAAGATAATTGCTTCCTGGGTGGCCCAGTACGTGGTATCACTGGAAACTTTGAACAAAGCTTCAAAATGGAAATCACAGTTTGTGCAACCAGTGAAATCCAACATAGTCGGGATGCTGTAGGCCAAGCCTGCTGGAAGGACAATTGTGCCTCCATTGCCACATAGCAGCTTTGATGGCAGGAGTATCATCCTGCGAAGTGTCGCCAAGACTGGCTGGAGTACATGTAGCCCGTTTTGCATGGGCCGCACGATCTGGCACGAGCCCATCTGCACGTGCAGCAAAGGCAGAAGTAGCCTCAAGGGCAATAAGAAGCAGATTGAATGAGAGAGACAACATGATGAACGGTGGGGAGCAAATAGTCTGGAACAAAAATTTGAGAAAGGGGAGGTCCTTGGCAGTTATATACACCCTTGTTATGCCATGCCGTACGGTAAAAGTACATGCCAGTAAAAGTAATAGCCGTTGAAGGATGGTCATGTGAAGATCGATATATAGTGCTGTCAGTTCATTTAAGAAATTATAGAGTTCCTCCTTGGTGGAATATCCCTAGATTTGAAACGTATCGGTGAAATATGAACACACTATGTAACTGGGTATCTGATATTATCCTTTATATGTATATTAAACATTAGGTGCCCTCGAGAGAAAACTGGTCCAGCAACTCAACCATCTTAGAAATTTCGTTGTCTATCATCATGAAGTTTACCCTCCTTGTTTCAGGAGCCTTGGCTCTTCTGGGGATCGGCGAGGTGATGGCCGCCCCAGGCCCTGCACTTGTCAATAGAACAGCCCGCACAAGCACCCCTAGCAGATGCTTGACAGTTCAGGGATCAGGGACTCAGAGTGTGAGTAATCAACCATGACCGCAGCTCTTGCTGCCTTTGGTCATCTGCATGCATCTTCGTGTACAGCGGTACATATAACGAAGCGTTCGGCGTCGCATACAATGCTCCATTGATTCTGTATGGTTATACTGCCGAGTAGTTATATCTTCTATTAACCTTGCAGCCTCAACCTTCTCATAGTACCGGCACATACAAGTCCAATGTAGTCACCTTCCAGCGCAGCATGAGCTCGACAAACGCAGGCAACCTCGATGCCTCTTCAGTGGCCAACATCGTAAGTGCCAACTTCAAGGCCTACAACTTCAACTTCAAGAACACCTATGGCTCCAGGGCTAAAGCCGTTGCTGTAACAGCCAATGGCGACAAGCAGGGTTTCTACGGATGCGGATTCTACGGTTATCAGGATACTCTACTTGCCAAAAATGGCAAGCAGTACTATTCCAACTGCTACATGGAGGGCGCCGTTGATTATATCTTGGGGAATGCTGCTGCTTGGTTTGGCGAATGCACTACTGCAAGCAATGGCGGCGGCGCCATCACTGCCACTTCCCGACAGGATCCAGCTGATGCTTCCCGCTAGGTCTTTGACCACAGCACTGTAAGTCTCCCAAGTCGCACATCAGCTCCACCAGTCAAAATACTAACATATGGCGGGTTACCGCAGCCTCTAGGGCCAGAGTCGTTAGGATGGTGTACCTCGGGCGGCCGTGAAGAGTTTTGTCTCGCGTCATGCTCCAAAACTCTGTGCTCACAAACGTCGTGAATGCAAAGGGCTGGACTCCCATGGCCGATGGAGCGACCCCGTAAGTAGCTAGCCATCTTCGTGCCGAAATACAGAACTAACAATAAGACAGGATCTATACAGAGTACAACAACAGTGGTGCGGGAAGCGATACGTCGGCTATGCAATTTTTGACCGCGTCGTCGGCTGCGATTAGCACAGAGACTGTGTGGGGCAGCGATTGGAAAACTTGGATCGATACATCCTACTAGGAGCCTTGGTGCCAGTTCGAAGTTTCCCCGTGGGGTGGAGTGGGATATGTAGTGGGGGGCCCAGCGTAGCAATGAGAGCTTCCTATAAGAATGTATGCCCATGACATTTTATAGGAACCAGCTTGGCTATTTCCAACAGGTAGGCAATTCTCACTCCCGAGTCACGACCACACACACTAATCCTATCCGCTTCAGGTACATCTCGCACGTTGCCGCAGCATGCATGGTGCTGTACGGTTATGATGCGTCGACCTATAATTGTTGGAACTGCATTCCTGGTAGTACGCTGCACATGCGTAGCCTGTATACCAACTGTGTATATATAGGGGCTTCGCCCCCCGTAGTTTTTCAATCAAGTCGTCAAACTCCAATTATGTGTTCAACAATAATGGAAATTTTGATATGTCAGGAACGTTATAAACTATAATTATATTAACACGAATAGCCTGCCAGAACCCCCCTCATTGGGTGGAATACTTCGACACGCCCTATCTAGACTCATACTAATCACGTGATTATACAGAATTCCTATACTCTCGGTCTCATTAATACGTCCTATAATATTGGCGGCATCGTTTCTGGGTTTCTTCTTGGGCGGGCCAATTGTATGTTGACCTCCAGTCGTGGTGATAAAGTGCGGTGACTGACAATTTTAAAGGCCGATAGGTTCGGGCGAAGATAGGGAATGGGAATTGGCTGCTTTATGACCATCATCGCTACTTTCATGCAAACATTTGCCCCTGAGCACAATGCTGGTGTCTTTATCGCCGGTCGTGTCATTATTGGACTTGGCCAAGGCATTACATTGAGTATGTGCTCCCATTTTTGCCTGCCCCAATTATAACAATCAAAGAGTTGTAACTGATCGGGATACCCATAGCTTCTGGACCAATTTACATTGGAGAGTTAGCCCCTACTGAGATTTGTGGCCAAATCATGGGCTTTTGGCAGTTATTCTACTCTGTCGGATCCTTTATTGCATACTGGATTGCATGCGCCACTGGCCTTCATTCCGAGGCCTAGGGCCAATGGGACTGGAAGTTGGTAATCATCTTCCAGATTATGGTCCCTGCAATCATCTGCGTCCTCTTGCTATTCATTCCAGAGACGCCCAGATGGTACATTCAAAAGGGCAGAATTGAAGAAGCAAGGGCATCGCTCACGCGCATTCGTGACACACCTGAAGAAATCGAAGATTGATGATTCGAGAGGCAATGGCATACGAAAACGAAATGAACAGTGGCAACCAGGGTCTATCTCAGTACAAGGCTTTGCTTACGGACAGGTCTGTTCGTAAGCATCTTTGGATTACCTTCATTGTCAATGGCGGGCAGCAGCTCACTGGTCAAGGCAGTCTTAACTAGTACTCGTCGCAAATCCACAAGGGAATCTACAAGGATAAGCACACCATCGATTTGATCAATGCCATCAACGGCACTTGCGGTATTCTGTTCACATTGAACGCTGTCTGGACTGTCGATCGATACGGCCGAAAGTTCCTCTTCATCGTAGGAGGAATCGGAATGGCAGTCGTCTGCATGATTGCCTTTGCATCAGTCGGCATCGCCACCCCTGATACCTTCTACCTGTCCAAAGGAAAGGAAGTTCTCACCAAAGAGCAGCCCGTCGGCATTGCCCTCACGTTCTTGCTTTTCCTCTTCATCTTCTTCTACAAGCCAACTTGGGGTGCAACGACCTGGATTTGGACCGCTGAAGTCTTCTCCATGAACGTCCGCGCCCAAGTTGTCGGCATGTGCTCGCAGTGGCAGAACGTCTCCAACCTAATCTTCAACCAATTTTTCTCAGTCTTCCTAGCCAAGGCTAGTTTGTACGTCTTCCAACCCGCTCACTCTTTTCTATAGCTAACTTGCCGCAGCTATACCTTCTACTTCTTTGGAGGATCAACGTTATGCTTGCCATCTTTGTTCTGTTTATCGTCCCAGAGACGAGGAACATCAAGGAGATGGACACCCTCTTCGGTGGATCCAATCATATCGAGAAGGGTGGAGCTCACGCCGTTGGTGCTACTGCGAACACAGAGAGACTGTGCCCGCTGTCGCTGGGTCGAAGGTTTAATGGTTGTCTGGTTGGAAACTCTGTGTCGTTTGACGTGTGAGTGGTACATTATGGTGAGGAGGGGCCTTTGTAGAGGCCGGTTCTATACAGTAACATAAACCACAATATTAGCGAGCTAGTCTCTAATATATTTTTAATTAATTGCTGGAACAATAACTGCATACGCAATGTATTTAGATGGTCTATTTATTTGAATGTGACTATGAGTGCATTCATGTCTGGCGTCATTGAGTATGAGTATTCAACGCCCAGAATATTTGATTTATAGCTATGTTACCTACACCCATCCCATCGTTGTGATATTGCCCGTAATTGTTCTATGCTCCATCTAGACTGGAAATACGATTGTGAAGAAAAGAATGTGCTAATGTCTGCTGTCGTCAAATAGATCCCTCAAATGGCTTACAACGCTAGTTATCAACAATACAAGTAAATTGTCGCTCAAGACTTCAAAGAACAGATTCTACACCGCTGGGAATCGCTAACTGCAAGTAAAGTCAATAGAACTTTTTCCCCTGGTTTTAATTTCCCGATAGCTAGCAGAGTGGTTTTAGCCTCCCAGAAACCATTATAGATACCTTAGGCTTTCAGGCGGCATTAATAATCTACAGTGTTTTAATTTTTATATTCGTGTAATATGCTTTCAACTGTCGAGAGTACTCGAGCAACACTGGTGGCGTATAGTACCGTGACGATTACCATCGTATCAGTCATCACTCACAGCTTCCACAGAGGTTAAAGGCTTACGTAGCATTATTTTACAAGTCCTCGTTTATTTAACAATCAACAAGAACTGTGGTCGGTGTCCATCATCCCCATCGTCGCTCCGCTGCTCAACTTCATCATTGCGCTGCTCAGGGTCGAACTTAATCACTCACAAATTCCAGAATCTTGAAAAGGCTTGCTTGATATTCATGTCCATTATTTTACAAGCTTCGTCTATTTAACAATACACACGCCTAGTGGCCGTGTCCATCATCGCCGTCGCCACGTTGTTCAGGATCTAATTTAATCATCGTATCAATGCGCATGATAGATATGCACGCCTCGACCGCCGACTTCAACTGCCTGATCTTGCTCATGCTGGGCTCAAGCACGCCAGCCTTGATCTCATCAACCACCTTGCCCTTCGTCAGGTCCAACCCGTAGTTCTTGTAGTTCTTCTTCTTCGCAATGCTCTTCTCGTCCTCGTTCGCATCTCCATCCTTGATGCGCTGCGATAAGGCGTGGCGGGAACGAAGCTGTGCGACGAGTTCTGAGGAGTCCTTTGCGGCGTTAACAGCAAGGGTCTTGGGAATGATGAGGAGCGCCTGGGCGAATTCGCCAATGGCGAGCTGCTCGCGGGAACCAACGGTACCAGCGAACTCCTCCAGGTAGATGTGGAGAGCTGTCTCGACGGCGCCACCACCTGGGACGATGGAGCCACTCTCGAGGGTACGCTTGACAGCGCAGAGGGAGTCGTGGACGGATCGCTCCATCTCGTCCAGCTGGAAGTCGTTCGCACCACGGAGAATGATGGACGCAGAGGTGTGGACCTTGGTGCCCTTGACCAAGATGCACTCATCGTCTGAAATTCTCTCCTGAACAACCTCTTCGGCGTAACCCAACGACGAAGCCTCGAATTTCTCGTCACCGTTAAGGTCAGAAAGCGAGGAGACGAGAGTAGCACCGGTGGCCTTGGCGATTCTGCGAAGATCCTCCTTCTTACAGCGGCGGACAGCCATGGCACCCTTCTCGATGAAAAGCTTGAGGACCAAGTCATCAATTCCCTTGGTGGTGAAGATGACGTTTGCTCCGGACTTCAGGATCATCTCAACTCTGTCCATAACGATACCTGACTCGCGCTGTCTGATTTGTTCAAGTTGTTGCGGGTCGTCGATAGTGATGTGAACTCCCAACTTCATTCTCTCCTTTTGTAGGTTCATATCTAAAACGGCGATCTTGGCATCCTTGACATGAGTTGTCATAGCTTGCGAAGCGACAGTGCAGTTAAGCGCGTAGCCCTTCACCAGAATCGACTCCAATGCGCCCTTTCCGTGGGCCTTGAGGATATTGACCGCCTTGACTGGGTATTTCGTCTCATTTCTGTTGTTTGTCGACTTGACTGCCTGCATAGCATCCACAACCATGTTCGCAAAGAAGTCGGAATCAGATCCGATGATCTTGCTGGACATCGAGGTTTTGGCAATGTTGATGAGCGATTCCCGTCCGAGGTTGTCAACCTTCACGCTTATGTTCTCGTGCATGTATTTGACGGCTTCGCGAAGGGCAAGGCGGTAACCTGTGATGATTGTGGTAGGGTGTATGCGGTTCTTCATAAGGTCGTTTCCTCTTCGGAGGAGCTCTGCTGCTATTATGACAACGGAAGTCGTTCCATCTCCAACCTCCTTATCTTGCTGTTGTGCCAGCTCCACCAAAATCTTTCCAGCCGGGTGCTCGACGTCTAATAGAGACAGGATGGTAGCTCCGTCGTTTGTAACCGTAACGTCCTGCAGTAAAACGTCAATAGGGGAAATAGGGACAGATGTGGCATCGTGCGTACTCCTATGTCATCCACCATCATCTTGTCCAAGCCACTGGGGCCAAACGAACTCTTCACTACATTGGCAATGGCTTGAGTAGCGAGAACTAAGAATTTGTCAGTATGTATACCTGTTTCTGGGGTACTATAATCTGCATACCATTCTGATCACGAATATCTGACCCGCTGATCTTTGTTCCTCCCAGGACTAAACATTTATCAGTCCATATTGATTAATATAGGCAGTTGGTTTTCATACAAAGCGTTCCCGCATTCCTAGGCTGTTCGAATAATCCAGACATGATGGCGTATATGGGTCTGTCGTGACACTTTTCTCCAGCTATCTCAACCTCACAGCGTCGCGAAAATGTTAAGAGACGCGGCGAAGCTTGGACGCTAGCAACAACAAGGTTAGCGCCAAATTTACTAGGGTGGTGTCGGCTAAACCGCGCTAATGGTGGGGGACAGCGCGGGAGGTCACTCGAACTTCAGGGTTCACACACCGAATGAGTCGAGAACAATATTTTGTTGTCCCACCTGACAACACGACACTGATAAAATTTAAACCCCAAATTCAACCCATATATACATCTACAGACGCTGAATACAATATCTACTGATATATACAGTGAGAATGGCCTCGAAGGGCCCAGAAGCTCCAGCAGCGCAACAAATTATCGACAATGCGACGAATAAGATTTCAGAGGCCGTAGGAGGAGTTCCAGCAGTGCAACAAGTTGTTGGCAATGGTACAAACAAGGCTGTAGAGGGCGCAAGCGGAGCCCCAGCAGAGACTTCCAAAAGTGCACTTAAGAAGGCAGAAAAGAAGGCAAAGATGGCCGCAGATAAGGCGGCAAAAGCTGCTAAGAACGCGCTTGTAGTTGGGCAAGGCAAGAAGGCAGACGATATCATTGGAATAACTGTATCCAAGGAGGAGGACTTTTCTGCATGGTATCAAGAGGTTGTTGTCAAGTCGGAGATGATTGAATACTATCAAGAGATTGCGGGGTTCTTTATTCTGCGCCCAAGGTCCATGTTCATTTGGAACACCATCAAGAAATGGTTTACAGCAGAGATTGAGGAGCTAGGCGTAGAGGAAGCCAGTTTCCCTATGTTCCTGTCGCAGAGGGCGATCGAGAGAGAGAAGAAGCACGTGGAGGGTTTCGCCCCCGAGCTTGCTTGGGTTACAAAAGCGTTAGTTACTCCGCTTCTCCCCCCCACCCTCGAATACATTTCAGCTATTAACAGCTTAACAGAGGCGATAAAGACCTCGAGGCTCCAGTTGCTGTTCGCCCTACCTCCGAAGTTATCCTGTACCCATTCTACGCGAAGTGGATTCGAAGCCATCGCGACCTTCCCCTCCGCCTTAATCAATGGAACACCGTCGTCAGATGGGAAGCCAAACAGACCACTCCATTCCTCCGAGCACGCGAGTTTGAATGGCAGGAAGGACACACCGCGTCGGTGTCAGAAGAACTGGCTGGAAAGGAGGTTCTCCAGATATTGGAGTTGTATGCCAAGGTTTATGAAGATCTGTTAGCTGTCCCGGTCGTTCGTGGGAGAAAGACGGAGAAAGAGAAGTTTGCTGGAGGATACTATACCACGACTGTCGAGGGATATATCCCATCCAACGGCCGTGGAATCCAAGGCGCCACGTCCCACTGTCTGGGCCAGAACTTTAGCAAGATGTTCGACATTACGATTGAAGATCCAAACCCAAAGGCTGGAGAGAAACCCGGCCATATGCACGTCTGGCAAAACTCCTGGGGCATGTCGACTCGTGTAATTGGTGTCATGGTTATGATCCATGGCGATAACAAGGGCCTAGTCCTCCCACCAAGGATTGCGCGTGACCAGGTCGTCATTATCCCAGTCGGAATCAACAAGAGCACGACTGCAGATGATAAGGAGCGCCATTATGATCAATTGCAGGCCATGAAGGCTACGTTGAAGAAGGTTGGTGTTCGTGCTGATTACGATATCCGCGATGGTTATACCCCAGCTTGGAAGTTCAACGACCACGAGCTCAAGGGTGTCCCTCTGAGACTTGAATATGGTCCAAAGGACGCAGCCAAGAATGTCGTGAGCTACGCTCGCCGTGACACTGGAGAAAAGGGAACTATTGCTATTGCCAACCTCGCGACTGAGGTAGCTGAGCTCCTTGAGACCATTCAGAAAGACATGTATACCAAAGCCGAAGCTAATTTCCGGGCCCACCGTATCACTATCACCAAGTGGGACGATGTTATCCCCGCCCTTGATGCCAAGAACGTTGTTTTAATTCCTTACTGTTTGGCCGAGAAGTGCGAAGATAAGATCAAGGAATTGACCACTGTCGATGACTCCGCCCACGAGGGTCCCCTTGAGAAAAAGGCCCCAAGCATGGGCATGAAGAGTCTCTGCATTCCCTTCGAACAGCCAGAAGGTATCGTGAAGGGTGAAACCAAGTGCTTGAACCCTGAGTGCGGAGCATTCGCTGAGAAGTGGTGTATGTTTGGAAGAAGTTACTGATGGGCTTATTACAAATGATCAAAAAAGAAAACTTTCAAGCCTTGCCACATTTCTCAGCTATGCCCGCATGCTTGGAGCCACCAACAGGCTTGTGAATTTGCATAACTGGACCCAACCGGAGCTTGCCTCTTGCATTTCATGTTCTAGCTATTTGGAATGTACGAATGCCTCTTTATTATCGCTCTTACTATAACTCCATGGCATTGCGGTCATCAAGTCCCATAGCATAACTAAAATCGCCAACAACCAAGCATTATAGTAGATCCAGAATGCAACCGAACATGTGACCCTTGCGGCAATGGTAGATATACGTTTTGGTTTTTTGCTTGGCAGTCACTTCCAACCATAGCTTCCAATTGCTGGATCATTGCCTAACATAGACGAGTTGCCAGTGCCATCTCAACAATACCAGAAAATATCCATTGGCATAATAAACGTTATCGACTCTTTAAGGGGAGATTTGTCATCTAAGATGCGACGATTACAAGGATCTGGTTTACGTATTTCTTTTTTTATATTTTTTGCCCGTTTGTTTTTATTATTTGATTTAGAAATACTTTTACATCGCGGGCCAGAACCGCCCAAGCTCAAAACGCAGAATGTTCCAAAAATGACCGCCTTGTTTCGACAGAGAACGAAAAGCATGATTATTCGAAAAGGGCACGAATTAGATGCACCGATAACTTCAGCAGAGCTCTATGCTTTGTTTTCAACAATTGTGAAGCAAGCGTCGAGGCAACCGCTTGTGGACTCCGTCGAGGTGAGAGAAGCCCACATTGTATCTGACAATAACTTAGTTTAATATAGGTGCGTATGATGGTAGTATATTCGCGATGGGTGCAGATCGTTACCGCAAAAACGACGCGATTCTATATTACATCAATCGTCGAAGGGTGGGATAATATTGCAAATCAAATGGAGATTTATCAGACACCATGGTTTAATTTCATGACCATTCTGGGCCAGCAATGTATATTACTTGCTGTATTCGAGTCAACTAGGATGCAAACTCCTGATACTAAGGGACGAACCCCCCTCAGAGATATGGCACCAAGAGAACAAAACTTAAAGCACAAGCTCCCAACCGCCGAGATGTGTGGTAGCAAGAAGAAGAAGATAAAGCACAAACCGGATGGTACCAAGGATACATTGCCGATTTTTTAAAAACTTTTTGGTGTCTATTATCACCCTTCTTGTGGGGGTCTGAACTCAAAAATATCCACATCCCAGTGGCCCGGCGAGCGAACTGATGTGCCTCCGATCCAGGAAGCTGATCGTGCCCCATATCAGAAGTGGCTCGAGTCGAGCGGATTCCCGGTCGCGTCCGACCCAAAGATCTGGGAAGCTATCCGTACAAACTGGATCGGCTTCCTCTCAGCCACGGGTTCAATGCCGAAGCGCGAACTTGCACCGTGTCGTAAGGTCGTGACCTGGGGGCCTCGCGGGTCCGAATCGCCGCCAGCCCAGACAAAGAGATTCAAGCAGGATCGAAAGACGCGCCGCTGTATCCAGGGGGCAGTGTGGCTGCAGTTTGACGTGTTACAAACTCTTGCAGAGCGATGGCCGATACCTGTCCGGACCATCGTCAACCGGGCGGGGTTGGGAACAGAGCAAGGGCCGTTTGAGGGTTGGGCAGCTAAGATGAATCTGAGTAAGCGACGGCGGGGTGATTCGATCTTTGCGGGGCTGGTATTCTTCCTTGTATACTCTCATTTATGAAGGCACGCTTGAAGAGATGGGACTCGAGATTAGCGAGGATATGTTAGACAGTATCATGAGCGTGAGCGAAGCCGATGCTTGGCACGGCCGGATCTTCCAGAGCATGGACCGAGATCCAGGGCCAGTAGAGGGGCCCATCGAGGAACTAGTGACAGAGCTGACCACGGATCCGAAGGCCACATATCGCACGAATCCGCTCCTCTGGTGGATTGGTATTCTTGTGCAGTCATCGCTTCAAACAGATGGGGACGATTACATCAGTCGGGGGCAGTTCGACTTCAACATTCTAACCATGGATATGGACATTAAAGAACGGCTTGAGGCGCTCCTCCACTACTCGACAGTGCTGGTGCTCAACTACTCGATGAACACATGGAAGACGAGCGCGGTTCGAATGGACGAGGTTCACGCCAGCATGGCAGCTGTAGATATGAGATGGCTCAATGCCGACGACGACCAGCGACCTGCAGCCAGCGTTGATATACGCAGATGTCAGTCTGCTTCATGGAAGGACATAGTCAAGCACATACGAGCGCAGAGCAAGGCATTTCTCGGGGACCAGCCTAGGACGGTCGCGAAGCAGATTCGGGTGTTGTTAACGTTGGAGGTGGTGTAATGGTCATGGTGGCGTAATGGATACTAAAACCCCACCTCGTAACTTCAAACTTGTAAAAAAAGCCTTCGGGTTTAGGAAACTGAGGCGCGTATGGCTGAAACTATAGAGGCATACAACAATCGACAATTTACAACCTTAAAGGCTGTAGCAGAACACTTTGAAGTCAGCCGCTTAACATTGACGCGTCGGGTGTCAGGACATCTTTCTCGGGTGCAAGTGCGACATAACTAACAACTTCTATCTATAGTTGAAGAGAGTACTTTAGTAAAGTGGATTTGTTAATTTTCATCCATAGGACGCCCTATTAGACACTAGCTAATCAAGGAATTGGCAGAAGAAATCAGGATCTAAAGAGTCTAACATGTTAATAACGCGTTATCCCAAATTATACGATATCTACTAATTAGTTAACAATGGATTTAACACTTTATTTAACGCCAAATAGAGCTTACTACAATTACTACTCGACAAATCGAGTCTGCAAGACATTAAGAACCAACATTTGAAGTGCTTAAACACTAGTTTATAATGCTACAAGCAAAGATGCAAGAACAAAGCTATGATATTTACAATGTATATAACATAGATGAATTAGATTTTAGGATTAGAACTAGTTAAACGAACCATGTAGTAGCTGACGCAACTATGTGTACACGTTAGAAAGTTGTTCTTAGCCGTTAAGAGTGGGTGTTAGTCATTAAGTGCATCTCTATAGATAAACACATCTTGCTACCACTTGTGATTTTTAAAGCTAACACTATTAACAGCACTTAGTCTACAAATCCACACGTAGAGGATTAGCGATTCTTAGCAAGTACGAAGGGTTGGACATTAAACGTCTATGGATTACAGTGGCTATAGTAAGTTTTTGAGCTAGAAACCTATGAAATTGCAGATGGCAAACCATAACTTTTGGTTGCAGATGGCCATAACAGCTATATTTCTGCAAACTTTATTGCTCATTACATATAACATAATATCGACCTTCTTATACTTCCGCCACCTTGTTCCTACATCCTTCAACCTCTTGATGTTGTAGTATTTAGACCGCTAAAGACTGCACTAATAAGCGAGACGGACCAACTTACACAAGTTGGAGCAAGGAATATACAAAAGGTAGAATGGATAGAAATGTACTACAAAGCAAGGTTATGAGCGATATCACAATATAACATTTAAAGCGCATGGTAGGAGCAGGCATTTATCCATTTAATCCTTAAAACGCATATAAACACTTGCTAACTTTACACACCCGCTCTTCTACGACTTTAACAAATGCCACTACACCACCTTGTAATGGTGGGTGCACCAGATGTGAGAATCTAGCCACCCAAGGAAGGGATGATTTTACTAAGACAACACACTGTCTTAGGAAACAGAGCCAAAGGGTTGTAGCTTAGACTATTCCACAATGCAGCAATCAAGTATATGATGTAGTGGAGTGGTTTGGACAAGTTGTAACAAATGTTGAGTCTGAGAACTCAGGGATAAGTCAGAGGTTAGCACCTCACTGACTTTTCAGAAACAAGGACTAACAAGATCAATGCTTGGAAGCTTGGAAAAGACGTGGAAGTATGTGATAGTTGATTTACTGTATTGTCTGCTTGCCCTTTCTTAAGGAAAGGGCAATCCTAAATCATAGAGGGTTGTAGAGATATGCTATGTGGTAATATCAGCCCAGTAACTAAGGAGCGATGACGCGTAATGAATCATAGATGGTTGTAGCAATCGTTGAGTAGTATTGCTCTTGTTGTTGGTGTGATAAGCCAAAATATGTATAGTGACTTGTAGGTTTGAGGAGGAGATTTCCAAGTTTGCTCTTGAGTTTGATAGCAAACTGAGTGCAACGAATGTCAGTATGACACTTAGAGGCACCTATAACCTAATTCGAATCAAGGAAGGAGATGGGTGCAAAACAGCATTCCGCACCTGCTATGGCTTGTTTGAATATTTAGTTATGCCTTTTGGTTTAACAAATGCACTAGCATCTATGTAGAGGCTTATGAATGCAGCCCTCTATGAATACTTGGATGTATTTGTTATCGTCTACTTAGACGATATCTTAGTCTACTTAACAGAACATGTTAACGTACATGCATAGCGAGCGGGCCACTAAACCACCACATGCATTCTTTACCACGGTCGCAGTCTAAACCACAATGCCAAATCAATTGAAACTATATAGAATCCTCTTCTTCAGAGGTTACTACTACTACCTGACAGGTTCGTGCATTATGACCGGCCTCACCGCAAACGCTACAGTGCTGGGCGCGTACTTGAGCCCCCTCCGTACGACGACCACCACGACTTGTTTCCTCCTTCAACTGCTCATCCACATTCTTCTGAGTTATCAGATCCTCTGCTTCCTGCATACTAAGTGATCCTCCTGCCCGTAGACGTACTTTTTTAGCCCTCCGGCGTTTACTAAGTACCTCATTTGCCGTACGAAGGTCCTTTAGCTCAGCCCGCATCAACACAAACTCGTGTGCCATCTTCGACATACCTCTTGCCTGGGCGTCAATCACGTCGTACATATGGGTTGGGGAGCTATTTTGATGCCTAGCGATCTTATTCTTAATGGTGGTTGACTGTTGAGTAATCTCGGACGCTGTCTTAGGGGTCTTTGTAACCCAAGATTGAGCTGTCCCTGGGCGTGTGTTCAGTGGCTCAGGTGTCATTGGCTTTGGATCTAGCTGGGAAAGCACAGCTTCGGGGTTGAGAGGGACAAGACCAGTCGCTCTAAAGCCTGCTCGTACATTGTTTTCAGTCATAGCTATGTTGAAGGCCTCTAAAAATGCGTCGAAAAAGTCGTCCTTCGTGATGTGAGTGATTTGCATCCGCATCATCTTCTCAATTTGCTTCCTATACGAAGCCTTGAGCGGGCTAAAACAACTGACATCAAGAGGCTGGAGGATATGAGACGAATGGGGAGGCATACAGAGCGGTAGGATATTGTTAGTCTTGCAGTAGTCGTCGAATTCGGTAGAGTGGTGGCTTGTATGGCCGTCAAGGACTAAGAGGCGATAAACACCTTTCGTACGAGCCTTCGTGCACTGATCAAAGTGCTTGATCCAATCTAAACCAATCTCATTTGTAGTCCAGCCGTTGGTATTTGTATGGATCCTCCAATCGCTCGGGAATCGGCCGTTCTGATACCAAGATGTGAGGTGGAATTTTCCCTTCACAACCACGTATGGAGGTAGTGTCCAGCCAGTCGCGCATACTCCCTGGATCACTGTAACAAACTCTCGATTGCCTGGCTGCTTCGTACGAGGCTGAGAACTTCGTTCGGAGCTTGTAACAACCTTTGCGCTGGAGAGCATGCCCATTAGAAACCCAGTCTCATCAAAGTTATAGATATCCTCCTCTTGGATGCCATACTTAGCAATCATGTTCTGTACAAGCCGGAACCACGCGTTTACTACGTCCGGATCTTCGCATTGGGCCCTCTGATAATCGATTCGATGCCGAAAACGCGTGGTAAGCTCAGGGTTGCGCTTGACAAAGTTTTTTGCCCATCGTGGTCCAACATGCGACGCGTCACGGTCCGTACGGAGGCGATCGGCCATTTCTCGAACGTCTTCAAGCCGGGGCTGAAATCCTCGCGAATCTAGGTCAAGTATCCGATCGACAAGCACCTTCTCTTCTAAATTGGTCAACTTCCTCGAGTTGGCAGAGATATCGCGTCGTGATTTCCGTCCAGCTTGTCGGCATTCGAGGGTTGTACGGGCAACTTGGTAGACTTTAGCTGCAGCTCGAATCGAGAGATTAGGGTCTCTTTTTAATGCCTCGAGAGCAAGGACAATACGGCTTTCGTTTGAAGAACATTCCATCTTTGATGGTTGTGAAAATTGATGTTAGAGGTAAGAAGTTGTGAAAAGTGGGTGGAGTGGCCCGTTCACTATGCTGGCCCGCTCGCTATGCATGTACGTTAGTCATGTTAGAAAGGTATTACAAAAGCTGAAGGAGCATCAGTTACTCCTTAAACCAGAAAAATGTGAATTCTATAAGAATCAAGTTGAATTCTTAGGCTACATCATTAGAACGCATGGCATCAAAATGGACCAAGCAAAGGTCATAGCAGTGTTGGAATGGCCAACACCAACCACAGTTAAAGAAGTATAAGCCTTCTTAGGTTTCACCAACTTGTACTGAAGGTTTATTATAGTATATTCCAAAGTAGCTTAACCACATACAGAGCTTACAAGGAAAGACCTCAAGTTCGAATGGACAGACAAGTCAGAACCTGCTTTCTAAGAACTTAAGATGAAGTTCACAGAAGCACCTATCTTAGCCACATTCGACGCTGCAAAGAAGATAGTCCTAGAGACAGACTCTTCTGATTTCGCGATTAGAGCATGTCTGAGTCAACTAGACAAAGACAGAAAGTTCAAGCCAGTCGCATATTACTCTAGAAAACTGTCACCTATGGAGCTCAACTATGACATCTACGACAAGGAGCTAATAGCTACTGTCATTGCTTTTGAGCGGTGGTGAGTATATCTTAAGGGATCGACCTACCCTGTGTAGGTATGGACCGATTATAAGAATCTCATATACTTGACCACAACTAAGGTTTTAAAGCACAGACAAGTCTGATGGGCAGAAACACTCGCAGCCTACAACTTCACGATTACATATTGCAAGGGCTCTGAGAATGCAAGAGAAGATGCTCTTAGCAGAAGGACCAACTACAGCAGCCCTAAAGAAGAAAAACCTAGAGCCATATTAAAGAAAACAGACGTAGGAATGCAATACAGCAAGTTGCTAGCTACGATTGCCACTGTGTAGAACTTAGAGTTGAAAGAAAGACTTAAGAAAGCTTATACAACAGACGAATGTGCAAAGCGAATCTTAAAAAAAACTGAAGGCGACTTCGCCATCGATGATAAGGATTGATCCGATTTAAAGGATTAGTGTATGTCCTAAGCAAAATGAGATGCCTGCTAGTGCAAGAACAACATTTGCTACTAGCACACAGCCATTAGGGAGTAACACAC